GCGGTTCGCGGTGCTGGCGGCGGGTTCGAACGGCCGCGCGTCGCGGAGGAGGATCGTCGGGTTCGAATCTAGCGGCTCGATCGTGGCTGCTGGGTTCGGCGCTACGTACGGCGGCGCGAACCCGGTGCCCCCTGAGATGGGCGCCCACGCCGTGTCCTTGGGGCTGCCGAGACCCGGCCCGCTGTCTGCGGGTAGGATCCCGACGTCCCGCTTGAAGCGCTGCAGCCACTCGAAGTTGTCGGCCGCGGTTTGGTTCCACGGGTCGTCGCTGGTGGGAGACAGGTTAGCTAGCTGATAACTACCTAGCCTTTTGAGAAAGGGGGGCTGGTGGGGAGATTTGGGAAACTTACTCGTCGTATATTAGCCACCGGGCTTGGTACCGGATCTCTTCGTCGGTTGGCACGTGTCGGTTGGGGTTATTGGGAGACATGGTCGACGCTACGAAGCGACTGAGACCCCGGGCCAAGCGGCGGTAGCAGTTTGTGTCGTTAAGGAAATAGGGACCAGTCTTGATGGAGCTGTTGAGGGCGTTATTGGTTGCATGGGGGTTGTGACAGGAAGGTAGTTCGTCAAGTAGAGGCCCAAGGTACTGTGAATCTCTTGTAACAGTTGTAGCAGCTTGGTCCTGAGATGGTAATGGCCTCTGGTTGATAGGAGACACGCTGGATGTAGATGTATTAGCAGCACGATCGCGTGGATGTCGCTTTCGGAAGCGTTGAAGCCATTCTTTATCATCGGCTGCCGTCTGGTTCCATTCATCGTCGCTGTCATAGATAATTACGCGGGCCTCTCGCTGGAGGTCGGCGTCTTGAGGTTCGATGCCTGCTGACCTCTGTCCCTCGAGGTATTCGCCGAGCTCCCGTTCCAATCTACTGTAATTGTGAATAGTAGAGTCTATAGTCTTAGGATCTTTCGACCTTAGATTAACGTCCCCGACGTCCTCACTGCGCGGAAGATGTGCCCGCTGCCTAAAGTTCTGAAGCCAAGTCGTAGAACCATATATCATGCGCAACAGCCAGTTCGCTATATCTTCCGCGGGGTGATTAGACTTCTCTTCCATTCTACCGATGATGCGACAAGCTTCGACTTGAAGTTCGTGGTCCATAGCTGTTAGGCCCAGTAGCTGCTTGGCCTTGACGAAATCTTGCATCTGCCTCTCGAACTCGCAGTTTTCGAAAATATTGTCCTTGCCATTAATACGTAACGAGGATAATCGGTTATCTGACTGTCCTCGAATCGGCCGTAAGGCAGCGCTTCGAGATATCTCCTCCGAAGACATCACAAGGTCACGTAACCAAGATGATGCTTCCCAACGGGGACGCTGGAAACTCTTCGTTTGGATCTCCGATCCGTAGAGAATGGAACAAGCTTCTAATTGCATCTCGGCATCATTTGGCGCTCTTCCGTTATCTGCGGTGAACATAGTAGCCCAGTGCTGAAGCTCCGATTTCAGTAACTCATAAGCGTTAATCGGTGTCGTCGGGGGGCTGCTGCTAGCCCTATAAGGTAGAGGGGTATTCCTCTCGTCGTGAATTAAATCTGTTCTCGTCAATTAGATATTTGTATAGGAGAGAAGCACGATAGTCTCTCACAAGGTGGGATAGAGTTTTCAACCATCTCAAGCACAGGGGCTTCGAAACCCCAGTCGCCCTTCCAGTCAGCCATAGTGTTACCGGTCTTAAAGTGTTCAGCCAGATGGTCCACTCGGATTGTCCAGCTATCTAACACGACACCACAGAAACCACATCGTGACCTAATCTCAGGAGAGGACACTCGCCACTTGTCCATTGCCCACGGAAGAAACTTGACATTGTGCACGAGCTTAAGATGTTGTCGGAGATGATCCTTCCTATAAAACGTCCTCTCTCCCAACGTCCGCTCGGTACACCCGGAGAAATTATGAGACTCCATGTGGCCATCGTCCGGATTCGCCTCGCCGCAAAAGACACAACTCATCATGCCGTTTTCCGGGTTTAGAGTCCTCGGGCCATCAGGAGAACATATCCATCGCTCGAGAGACAAATGTAAGGATTTCTCGTGCCGTTGCCAGTCATGTTTAGTCCTAAAAGTCTCTGTACAGAACGTGCACTGGTAAGTTTTGAGCGGTTGGTTGAGACTTTCATCGGCTCGTGCGGGCGGAGCTCGACGGCGGCGACGACGGCCTCGAGTTCGGACGAATGATGATAGCGAACCGAAGGAACCACGCGATTTACTAGAATATGCCGAGGCGAAGGAGTTTCCGCTAGAATGAGAGGTACCCAAACTGCTGGCAGACGATTGATTGCATAGCGACCTACTTGATCCGTCATCTGAATAGTTAGAAACGTAAGGACTGTTCCGACCCGATCCGGATGTTTGCGAATATGAATTGGAAGAGTCCGACACGGCTTTAGCAATAGCTGCCACGGATGCAGGTTCATTTTCCGGAGGAGAATTCGCCCATCTCTGCAAGGGGTTCATGTTCTCAAACAACGCCGGCGTGCCTCTCCGCTGTGGAATATCGATGGCTTGGACATATCCTCGGCCAACATGAGGTGACGTCGCTCGGGTCGGCTGGATCTTTCCACGACGGCGGGCATTTGCTAGCCAGTTCGTAATCTGCGTCTTGCTAAGGCCAGTTATCTTCTGTAGACCCTCTTTCTCCTCTTCCGTAGGATATGGGTGTCTACTATGCGTCGATACCCAATTTTTCAGGATTTTCACTGACTCGCGGGAAAACCGTGTACCGCTCTTAGTCGTAGTCGTAGTCTGAGCCTTTAATAGTGATTGTCTGTCCTCGGCGATTGCAACCAAGCCTGGTGCAGGCGGCGCTGAAGTAATCATAGCAGTTAATTCATCCTCGTGCAAGATGGACGTCTCTGGTCTATCGCCCATTATTGGCCAAGGGTTCGCAGGAAAAGTCGCGCCCGCTTCGGCAGTCAAATTATGTTCTAGAGGCCCGAAGCTGCACTCACAACGTAGAGCAACACAGCTCGTGCAATAACCCTTGTATTTACCTTCTCTGATTTGCTTGCATTGGTAGCCACCCATTGCGCAGTGCGTACAAGGCACCGTAGGTATTTCCCAATAAAGCTGTGAGTTAGTTGCAGATTCCGTTTCCGGCTCCGGCAACGCCACCGGGTCGGCCTCCTGAGGTATCTGGGTGGACTCGAAGTGTTCAAGAGCCCAGTACGACCAGTCATCCCCGTCGACGTCCCCAAAGACGAGGTCCATATTGGGTTGGTCCATCGATGCAGCCGGAGCATCGATAGGACCAGCTACGCCCTCCGAGGTGACTACGGGCTCGGAGCTGGTGCCGACTACGGCAGCATCCCAATTAACAAATTCCATCTCTTCTAACTCGTCGATTGTCGTCATTTAGGGCGCGGCCACCGGCCAAGAGATTTACACCTAGGGCGTAAGAATTGGCAAAATGAGAAGGGCGCCAGTGTAGTAGTAGTTGTAAACTTGTAGTTACAAGAGAAGCCAAACAGATGAGTTAAAAGGAGGACACGTCCCTGTTAAGAGAGGGTAGGAATCTGGGGAAGAATACGGACAACCTCGACTAAGTTTTGAAGAGGAGATGGGGAAAAGAAGTTTAAGGCACGCGACAGATGTATCTCCTCGTAAGTTAGATCCTTAGAAACTACAACAATGCATAACTAACCATTCCGATATGATTTGCATACGCTGCTCCGTTTGTCGCTAAAGCCAAACGCGGGAAAGACGAAGATCCCAAGTTGAACAAGAGTCATCGTCCCATCTTGCTGGCTCGCTATATCGTAACCACTGCAAAAACCGCTTCCGAACTCTGCTGACAGCGCCGAACTAATCCATGCAGCCATGTAATTGAGGGTGGAGTACGCGCCCTTGGGTTGACGAGCAGGGCGTCCGTCGAAATCCGGTCCAAAAAGGCGGGGGGAAAGGGGTTACTATTGGCTATTAGCACTAACCCATTCGCATATTACTGCGACTGTGTATATTCCAGCCCCTTCACTGTGCAGTCATGACCGAATAGCGCAGTCCACACCGCCAAGATATGCCTAGGAGGTAGGTAAGCTGATAAAGGATCCAAATGGATGGAGTGTATTCCGTATTACCTACCACATATCAGAGCTACCTCAGAGATTTTTCTAGAGGCCATGAAGGGAAATAAGCAGTCAAATCACAAATGGCAGAGATGACTGAGGCTTAAAATATGCCGTAGAACGCGGGAATTTAAGACCAGGAACAAATTGGTCAATAGGTTCAGGTATTGTTACATGTTACATAGCTGGATATTGCACAGCATTTAATTGTAATTGGCCAATAGGAAGCAAGCTGCAGAATGCTAAGAAAGACATCGCGTAATACAACAAGTCATTGGACGTAACCAACTCTTATCGTCTTCATTAGTTTGGGGAAACTAACAACTAATATAAACACAATATCAGTTCAGCCTTAAGGTATCCCTGGGCCCTGGCGAATTAGTATGCCAGCAAGTAGGTAATGTCTGGCCAGCTCCTATGGAAAAGTATCACTAGAGTTCAAAGCAGTTAGAAGCCCCAGTAATATGCGTATTGATTCATTATTTTTTACCAGTCAGGATCCCATGATTTATGCATGTTATCCGAGAGGTGATGGGAGTAGGTCGAGACCGTTACTGTGGGACGCATAGATTGATGCTTTACGAAAAAAGAACCTCATTCCAAATATGAATATCTACCTAACCCACTACCTATGTAACTTAATCATTTTCCAACGCACTATAGCTTAAGTCTTCAGTGCTCAATTTACGAGTAGAGGCATCTTTTGTCATCCATAACTGTCGAATAATATCATGATATCAAGACCCGTGATAAGAATCTGGACAGCTTAAGAGGTCCGGGGAATATAAGAGTGGGGCCGGTATCCGAATTGATATCCGGAGGCCGACCGCGAATAACACGGTAGATACAGTTGAAACCCCCAGTCCTATACTTGATTCTTAAAATAATTCTCCTATTTATAAGATATTATGGTATTTATTTGTATATTATACGAGTAGTTAGGATTTAATGACGTCGGAGTTTGTAAGTGCTGAATTAGGAAGTACCGGAGCTACATAATTAGGTCGACCGGAAATGAGGGGCCGGCCGGAGTTACACATATACGGCCGGTGGAACTCAGTATGGCTTTGCACGTATTCCATATCAAGACTCTTTGTAGCAGTACCTCCAACGGTCCCGGCGGCCACCATAATATCCCGTCGGGCTGTCTCTTTTGCCGGTTCGAAGGGTACGCGCATCCGTGTAAGCTGTGATGATATCAAGCAGATTCCGATTATATAAAAGGTCTCTAATGAGGACTCTATGCCCTTCATTTCGAGCATCGATGCAACCAATATTGTGACTTGGACATTCCAAATCATCGGCTTACAGGTATTCTTACACAATTACAGCATACTTCTTTAAGATGGCCCCTATTAACAAAGCCGCTATACTCAGTGAGCCCAAGGCTCATCCCCTCAAGGTCGAATCCACACCATACCCAACTGCTGGGGATGGAGAGATCATCGTTAAAGTGGCCGCTACTGCTATCAACCCTATGGATTGGTACATCCAGATTATGGGAGAGCAACTATTCTCTTGGCTTCAATATCCCTACATTGGAGGGAGTGACGTCGCTGGAACAGTAGTCGAAGTCGGCCCGAACGTCAGCAAGTTCAAGGTCGGCGATCGCGTTCTTGGTTTTGCAGCCGGTTTCGATGCTCGATCCGGCGGCTTCCAGAATTACGTCGCCCTCGAAGCAAACATTGCAGCCCCTATCCCGGCTGACTTGGACTTCGCCGATGCTTCCGTGCTTCCCCTAGGGCTGTCTACAGCGGCATGTGGCCTTTACCAGAAGGACTTTCTCGCACTAGACTACCCAAGCATTAACCCGAAACCAAACGGCAAAACATTACTGATCTGGGCCGGTGCCTCAAGCGTTGGCACAAACGCCATCCAACTCGCCGTGGCTTCTGGTTATGAGGTGTACACAACTTCGTCACCTAAGAACTTCGATTACTGCAAAGGGCTTGGTGCTGCACGTGTCTTCGATTACAACAGCCCGACCGGCACACAGGATTTGGTTGAAGCATTCAAAGGCAAGACGAGCGCGGGTGCATTTGCCATACAATTCGGCTCAGAGAAAATTGTATTCGAAGTAATCAGCAGGGTTCGGGGTGCCAAGTTCGTAGCTTGTGCTATGGAGCCCACTAATGTCCCCGAGGGAGTTCAGGCCAAGATGGTCTTCGCCAGCACACTCAAGGAGAACGAGGTCGCATCTATCATCTACGACCAGTACCTCCCGGTCGCTTTAGTTCAGAAGAAGTTTCGGTGCCTACCTAAGCCGTTGGTATTTGGCCATGGTCTGGAAAATATTCAGGCTGCGATTGATCTGGGGAAGTCCGGTAGCGTCTCGGCCAAGAAGATAGTTATCACATTATGAGGGCAAGAATATGCAAGCTATTGGAGGAAGAATCGACTTATGAAGCGAGATATGACAGATAAGAGGCTTTGCTTACATAGCAGTGGTCATCGTATAGAGCTGACAGTATAATATATGCATTTATTTCATATCTCTATGTCCCAAGAATATATAGTGGTGCTGATTTTAAAGGGGGGGTCTTATTAGAAAGACAATGTCTCGATGTAAGCATTTCTACCTACTGGGGTCCTCAGATAGGCGTTCGATGGAAGACTAAGCAGACCCAATCAAATTCATCCCATAGCGTAAGAGTAACCGGAACCGGGTGATAATTTTACTCCCGTAGCCGGCGGCCGGAGCACAGTTTCTTTTTATCTCCTTACTCACGCAGTCAGCCGCAACTTAAAGACAACACTTCGAATTCTTCCCGGGTCCGTTCGTAAACGGCATCTTTCACACATATGGTTTGTCCTGCGCATACACAAACTCACAGATATCGGAGTCTAAGAATATGGAGACGGCATTATCCACGAATGTTCCCAGGTCTCGGCCTACGTCAACTTCTACATCGGGTATTAGAGCTTGCACGAACTGCTCTCGAGTTAAATGCAAGTGTATATATCGGGCTGACAGCACCATCTGTGAACGGTAGGTCTAGACATATTATTGCCGTTCCTCTCAAGACCAATTATGCCCTCAACATTAAATACTAAGACTGTCTAGGTGCTACCGCTTGAAGAAAAGTTGCACGCCAACAGAATCGGCTGGGCGTCGCGTGGGAAAACGTCGTGGCGTTTCTAGAACTGCCCGACTCGAAGAAAAACTTGATAAACTTATGTCAAGTTTAAAATCACAGAAAGAGACCAGAGGAACCCACACGGAAGATGAAGTAGATAATCACGATGGGCAGCAAGGAGCTCTTGAGTCCAATACAGAGGTGCCATCGGTCACCATCGCGCCTTCAGTGCCGGCTACTCAATCTCTTGGAGGGATAACCGCATTTGACATTACGAAAACTTCAAGTTCAAGTATTTCTTATTTTGACGAAACGTCCCCGTCGGAGGCAGAAGATTTACTAAGAAAATTCCGAGATGAAACTGCAGTGAGTTAAGGTCCTGGTTCCCAACCCACAATATTTACTTATATTACTAACCGCCGGACACAGGGTTTTCTGCCATTGGTCTATATTCCTCCATATGCGAGAGCCCAACAGCTTCGGGAAATGTACCCATTTCTATGGCTAACTATAATGTGCACGGCGTCAACGTCACCAAGGAAACGAACCGCCTTAAGTGAGCAGGCAAAGAACATTGTAGTTCTGAAGGTGGTTATGCACAGGGAGAAGAGCATAGATCTTCTTCTGGGACTCCTCATATTTGTAGGATGGTCAATACCCCCATTCAACACTTTGAAATATCGAACCTTCTATCTGACTTGCTACTGTTACCTAGGTCACATCTGCATAAACGAGATAAACCTTTCTGGACATTATTCTCTCAACTGATTGTTACTCTAGTTTGTGACTTGGGTCTCCATAGGCCACCGTCCGACCCGACTGTGTTCTGTGCTGCTGGTGATATTGGTGAGCAGCGGGTGTCAACTCTGCTTAAGAGGCGCCCCCACGAGGAGCAACGCGCAGTGTTAGGTGCTTTTGTTGTTACCTCTATGTCAGTTTATCAGCCCGCGAACTTTTCTTTTCTCCCCACCGTCAATCTAGCCCATTCAATACCTATCTAACAAGTTGCTTAGGATATCGAATATCTTCAAACATGCACCTGGGCTCCGTTGGTCCCCTTACCTTGACGTCTACCTTTCAAACCTTGCTCAAAGCAGCAAAGCATCTCTAGACGAAAGCCTCACAGCAATGGTAAAAATGCAACTAATCGCAAACCAGATATATGATGATTCTCTATACGCCAACGGTCGCCGGCCTCCGCCACTTTATTTGTCTGCTCTTCGATCACAGCTACACGAGATAACCAAACAGGAAAACCTTAGCGCGGAGGTCAGAAATGATCGTAAGTTAAACTTATGGTCACCAATGTTAACCCATTTCCTCACTAATATGTGCTATTTAGATATGATCTTAGAGCTCTATCACTTCACGGAGCTTTTGATAAATGAATCCGAAATAAGCAAGCCGACCACACCATGGAACGAGCCGGACTTGCGACGATTTGAGATCTACCAGCGCTGCCTTGTGTCAATTAAAGCGTACCTTGATACGTTCTTCTCTACCCCTATACCTCTCCTAGGTAACATGTCATTCGCCAGTTATCCTCGACTTGTCACGGTTATGAAAGGCTTACATACATTAACCATTTTACAAGATCCAAGCTGGGATCGGGTGGCGGTTCGGAGAACTGTTGACCTCATTCCGACTTGTGATAAAATCATCGGGCTGTTCGAGTATTTGAAGGCCGCCTCCACCTTGGTTTCACTCGACGGCGGCGATGATGAATCGTATAACTGGGGCCTTGGGGTTTTCCGGAAGTTGAGAGAAGTCTGGCAGTATGACCTGGAAAATGCGGACGCAGCGAACATTTCAAACCAGGAAAATAATATGTTTGATGGAGTTCGGGGTGGTGGGCCTACAACGCCTATAGACAATGCTAGTGATTCATGGTTCTTTAATGTGTTCGACGATCTTTAGGAATGAGATCGTGAGATTGTACAAATGAATTGATCCGGTTAGGTACCTGCATTGTATTCATTGCCCTCATAACTAGCGATATAACGATTCTAAAAACACTATAATGGATCGCGATTGAGTGTTGGGGTTCCAGATAAGGCATTTAGAACTTTAGCTGGAAGCACAACCAGAGAATATATTTACCTAAATTACCTAGGTACCTAACTAATAGGGTCATCGCATACATTTTCTCGTACCCAACGTTGTTGTTCATGGCCATCTCGCTTCCCTATGATGTCTACATTTAGAAACGCAGGACCTTAGAGCCATATACGGATGATAATACGAACTCTCTCTCGGAAAACACACCTATGAGGTACGCAGGCTATTCTTGAAATCGAAAGATGTTGTACGTGTAGAATACCGCATGATTGGTAGGGAATCAACCGCTGGATTTCCGGTGGCCTTGTCGCGGGGCTTACCCTTGTATCCGCATGGCAGCGCCCTAGCAATTCTGAAGACAAGATGGTGGCGCGGTTCCTGGCCCTGGCGAACGTGCCTCCATCTTAAAAGTAGTACCAGATAGAATATGTGATACCTCACTACCTCCTCCTACCCATTGTTAGATACTCGTTACGTATGGAATGTCATTGGTAGTCTTCAGTTAATATTTTTCGGGACCGTATGTAACAAATCCGCGTATTCAGGCACAGTGTTCTGAGACAGTAGCTGATCTATCTACGTAGCCGCCTGAGCTGTCGCTCAGCGGCACAGAACAAGCCTACTCGCTGAATCAGCTTACAGCTCGACGTCAGTCAGCACCACCCCAGAAGAATTGATCAGACGGTTACAGTGACGGAGGATAGCTTGCAGAAGAAGTTCAGGGACGTTTCGAAATTTTAGAGGATTTTTCTTCTATACCTGAGGCGAATTTTACTATCAAACCTTATGGACCTATTATAATTCAAAACCCCTAATAACTCCTGAGCTCAAGAACTGTAGAACTCCACCCCCAAAGCCACGTAGGGTAGTACGCCAAAATATATTCCTCAGACCAGAAAACTTCCATGTGAACACCCAACTCCTGCGCTATGGTATCATGTTAAATGCATGCCTTGTTCCCTCATGCTAAACCCAATGCATAATAGTAAATTGTAAATCGATAGGCTGATATATCGTCACTAGGATTGCGTATCCAGAATCGCTGCATGTACAGCAGAGCCCCCTATGTTGGGGTTATTCAACGCTGTTTGATTTTGCGGCCCAGGTTTAAGATAGCAATTGCCCGGCGCGTCTCCGTCGAATGCGACTGTACGGTTAGTCCAGGCAGGAATAAAGCTGACCCCGGCGCAGGTAGCATTTCCAGACGTAGAATTGCTGGCGAAGTCGGAAGGTATGTAGAAGGAGTAAGAAGCGCAAGCGTCAATGCAGTCGTCAAAATTACCCACGAAGAGAGAGGAGAGCGGATTATTTGGAGCGTCGCTGTTGCAGTATATCTTAAAAGTAGGATTATTAAAAACTTGAGTTCAGATAGTTAGTAGTTGTTCTGAATTGGTGTTCCCGTGTCAATACTATACTCACATTGAGATTCGTATGTAGTTCCCGTCACCCCCGCTGAATTTGTAGAGCATCCTTTATCAATCGCGCTGGAGTCAGTCGCTGTTGGCCCTGGTGCTGTTACGGTGACGGTCGCCGGCGAAGCACTAAGCGCGGCCAAACGCGCCTCTGCGTCGTTCGCTCGGCTCGCTTCGACTCCAGTTCCGGCCGCCAACCCAATAACGGCCGTCGATAGAAGGGCAATGATAATAGATAGAATAAACACTAGCACTGAGCATCCCAGTATTCGTTGCGGCGCTCTGCCGTGCTCTGATGGTAGTGTAGGACCATACCCAGTTTGATAGTCATACGTATACGACGAAGGTGGCGGGTGCTCAACTGGCGCAAAACCTGTATATCCTGCCGACAGGTTGGTTGACTCTTCAGGCTTTACTGGAGTTGCTGGCGTATGTTGTCCATACGTACTGGCCACTTCTGGTGCCGCAGGTGGGAGATGAACCTCTGGAAAATTCTGAGGTATCAGCTCGGGCGCCTCGTCGTACTGCGATGCCGTTAAATATTAGTTAAGAGAGTTAGGGTGCTAATATAATGAGATAGGTAACTCACTCTTGGAGGCATATTTAGCGAAGGAGGTTCAAACAATGCGTATTAATAAATTCAAGGTTAACTCAAGCTCTCGGAGCGCCACGATCTCTAAGTACCACGATCAAGAAAGAAGATCATGGCCGGTGCTGACAGAAGAGCAATATCAGGAACAACGGGAACACAGGTCAGATATGAATGAGTTGCAGAATCACAAACGGATCAAGGATAGGACTAATCCCTGCCCGTTTCCAGGTAATAAGTATCTTTGGTTCATACAGCGTAGCCAATCGTAAAACGAGATTGGATAAGCTCCCCTTAAAAGCTTGGGCTGTACCCGAGACTGACAGAGGGTTGCATGAAAATAGACCGGGGTCTCCGTGACCGAATGCAACTCAGCGGAGGAAAACTGCAATACATTACATAGATTCTAGAATATGGAATCCAATTCTAAAAGATGAGTAGACACATGCTTTCCTACGACTCTACTCATGTCTATAGAACTAGATAAGTTTACCAGTCACTTTTTATTATGGTTGACTACCCGTTATATGCTTAGTCCAAGTTGATACTATATACGAGCAACGGGGTAAGACAAGTTAGATTGGGTCATTTAACTACATCGATTATAATCCAATACTTCCTCTTCATACGTCTTACTCTGTCTAAGAAATTCATCATTCCGTTACTAGCTCTTACCCACTAATCAGTTAAAGTAGGAACTACGATTCCATCCCGCTCATAGACTCAGTTTTAAGGCTTAATGGCTTATAGGTATTGCACCACGTAATATATGAGAAATGGCAAGCCACTTACCTACTAACTAGCTGAAAAGCACTGAAATAGCTATATGGGTTAGTTGAATCCCTCTTTAGGTAAAATACCTATTTACTACGTTATCAACACGAACACTTCTGAAAGAATTGAGAACTACTATTGTCTTCATATTTTGCGTAGCTACCTGTTATACGAAGTACACAAACTTAGTTATATATTATCTTGTCCTGTTAACGAACAGAATATGAGGGAGATCACCTTGCTACCTATTATCATGGGGGCGAATTTACATTCCATTAATGGGGTGACATGTCGTGAAGATACGGAACGCTGACGCCAGCCATGGGAAGAAATGGGCTGAATGGTAAGAAGGTCCCATAAGGCTGAGCACTAAGATTACCTTCCCGGTTCGCGATGTCAGGTACTTATTAAGCATTGTTAAATTAATGGACTTAACAACTTAAGTCCAAGGTTACACTGATAGCACGAGTGTGATTTTATTAACTTAACCTAGTATAATAACCAAGTTTGAATCAATTCCGTAGTTCCTTTAGTTAAAATAATCAACTCGCGGGGGTTTTCTAAGTATTTACTATATTTTTTAGCCCACCCGATCCCCATTTAACCCCGCCTTAGTTACATGTATCTACCCGTTATCATACCTAAGGTAATTCGTTCAATATGGCCTAATTACCCTATATCTAAACTATAACTCAACTGTTTGCCAACTTCAATCGACGTAAACTAGGTCGAATCAAGTTACATTCGAGTCTATTCAAAGCCTCATATTAGTATTAGTTACAGCCATCTCTCGGCCAGATATTAACTGCTCTTTCTACCCTTTTAAGAGAGTAACAGTCTTAGTTTCTATGCTGCGCACTTGTTATAAGAGGCTGACAACAATCCCTAGAACAACTGAAGACTTGAAACTAAGAAACATTTGAGGAAGATAAAGTATTTTAGGATGTTAGTGTTTTATCTTTTCACAGTTCATAATACTGGCTGGGGGTTAGAGCGTGTATATAGAAACTGGGTACCTACCTCCTAGGTTGAACTTATCTAAACGAAGCGACCTTGATGTCCTAGGCTTACAATTTCCTTACTTGAGGCCATCCGATATTACCGATTCTAATGCGTTACTACCTGAGCCATACAGTTTCTTATCTAGGGTGCTCGGGTTTGGTATTGGGCATTGGGTCGTTATGCTTCCCATGTTGTCTTTGGCTTGCGTATGGCTTGCGTATGGAGAATGTGAAAAACTTGATACTTACGACCGAAAGATTTCGGGTTACGCAGATGAAATATGTGATGTCTTCTAAAAAGCATACCCCGGATTGACTTATTGTAGGAATGATTCCCTGTTAGTCGTTAGTGCTAAAGCCCCTGATAATGCCCGTTACCGTCAGCTGATGCTCCTACTAAGCCACCGGAAAAGTCTACATACCTTAGGTAAGCTAGCCTGATTGCCTGGCGGTGAAGCGGGGTCATGCCTTGCCGATCGGAGGTGAGTTGCATACATATGTAGTTGAACCGTTAAGTTACAGTAGGACAGGTACTCCAACGTGGAGGGGCAGCCATGAGGGGTAATTAAAAGTACCTAGGTACTTGTAACCCAAAAGCCTCTTTTATAGCGGGAAGATAGATTAATTTTTATCAACGCCTTTCCCAGCAAGACGTGATGACATGCTCCAATTTTTGTGGAGGGTGACGGATTATGCGGATTAGGTCTACTGTACCTAGGTAGGTATCTCAGACATCAGGGTCCAACAATGAATAAATTAATCCTTTATTACATGCGCGTAGCTATACCTCTTCGCTAGGCTACTTGGGGTAAGGCACGGTACCTTATTCTATATACTACCATCCCACGTTAACGCTATGTACCTATTCCCATAACCACGGATACAATTGGTAGGTACCTAGGTAAATACGTTAGTACGTGTAGGAGCTGTTCCTACCCAAGGTAAGCCGCATATGCATGGTGAGCATTTAGGTGCAGTACAGTACATCGGACGGAGTAGTACGTAGATAGCCAGGTAGCTTACCGCTACAAGCATTCAAGTGTGGCTGAAATATACTAGACTCCAGCAGATGGGCCAATCATTTGTGCTCCTGACTCGGAATAGCGGGAGAGAGCGTGGGTGGGACTTTCCAATTGGACTTACGTCGAAGTTTAAGGGATTCGATCCGTTAATTTCTTGTAGAATTTCTGGGCTCTTCTTTCCCTCCTCTCTTATATACAAGTAACTATACAAATACAAGCATTGAACTTGTTATATTCAAGTTTGATCGGAGGGAGTTATTCTCTTTTCCTAAAAAATAAGTGAATAGGCTTCTCAATTCTCAATTAGAGAGCCATTCCTATGTGTTTATCAACGCAAGATTGCTAGGTGAGCAAGCTGGCAAGCTAGATTTTCTCTCAGATCTGCATAGCCATACCTAAAACCTTACTCTTTAAGCCTTTTTCCTCCCTTCCTCTCTACCTACCATGTTCTTTTCTGACTTTATCGTGTAGATTTCATTTGTGACATTTGTACTTTTATTTCTACGCGTCCTTATTAGTAGTATTCGTCCTGTACCTTACCGCCCAAAATGCATATCAACGAGATGCTCGCAGACGCCGAGAGGACCGGCCAGCCGTCCTTCTCTTTCGAATACTTTCCCCCGAAGACAGCCCAAGGTGTGCAGAACCTATACGATCGTATGGAACGTATGTACGATTTTGGACCCAAGTTCATCGATATCACATGGGGAGCAGGAGGGCGGATTGCTGAGTTGACCTGCGATATGGTCGTTCAGGCGCAGGCCTACTTTGGTCTCGAAACCTGCATGCATCTGACCTGCACAGATATGGGCGAGGACAAGATAAACGACGCGTTAAGGAAGGCGTACAAGGCGGGTTGTACTAACATACTGGCACTACGGGGCGACCCTCCTCGCGAAAAGGAGCAGTGGGTAGCTACTGATAGCGGGTTTAGATATGCAAGGGATCTTGTCGCTCACATACGAAAGACGTACGGAAATCACTTCGACATTGGTGTTGCCGGCTATCCTGAGGGCTGTGACGACAATAAAGATGAGGATCAGCTGTTAGACCACCTAAAAGAGAAGGTTGACACGGGTGCTACCTTCATTGTCACGCAGATGTTCTACGACGCCGAAAATTTCATACGATGGGTAAAGAAAGTACGAGAAAGGGGTATTACCATTCCGATCATTCCTGGTATTATGCCTATTGCAACTTACGCCAGCTTCCTTCGACGGGCAAACCATATGAATTGCAAGATACCCGAAGAATGGATGACAGCTCTCGAACCGATCAAGAATGACGACTCTGCCGTGAGGGAGGTTGGGAAAACGTTAGTTGCCGAGCTTTGCCGAAAGATCATGTCCGCTGGCATTGTTCACCTCCATTTCTATACTATGAACCTGGCCCAGGCAACCCGTATGGTCTTGGAAGAGCTGGATTGGATGCCAAGCACAACCCGTCCTCGAAAACAGGCTCTGCCATGGAGACAGTCCCTTGCACTTGGGCGGCGCGAAGAAGACGTCCGTCCTATTTTCTGGCGTAACCGCAATAAGTCATACGTATCAAGAACTCAGGACTGGGACGAATTCCCCAACGGCAGATGGGGAGACTCGCGTTCTCCTGCTTTCGGTGAATTGGATGCATATGGAATTGGTCTGACCGGCACGAACGAGTCTAACCGTAAGAGATGGGGTGAACCCAAGTCCGTCAAAGATATTGCTTCCCTCTTCGTGCGGTACATAGAAAGAGATCTCCCTTCTTTACCTTGGAGCGAGGCACCTCTAACCGACGAGTCGAACTCTATTAAAGATGATCTCATCAAGCTCAATCAGCGCGGCCTATTAACTATCAACTCCCAGCCGGCAGTAGACGGCGTCAAGTCTACCCATCCGGTATACGGATGGGGCCCCCCGAACGGATATGTCTACCAAAAGGCGTATCTAGAGTTGCTGGTCTCTCCTGATTTATTTCCCGAGATTATTCGAAGGATTGACGCCGACCCAGATTTGTCGTACTACGCTGTTACTCAGTCTGGGAAGCTCACGACAAATACCCCCTCTGAAGGACCCAATGCGGTCACATGGGGAGTTTTCCCGGGGAAAGAAATCGTCCAACCCACAATTGTCGAGAGTACTAGTTTCTTAGCTTGGAAAGATGAAGCCTTTAGACTTGGCATAGATTGGGCCCATTGCCATGAGGCCAACTCACCTAGTCGCATCTTGATCGAAAAGATTATGAACGAGTGGTATTTGATTAATATCGGTAAGTTACCCCGTCACCCTTGGAAGAGAGCAATACTAATGCAGATCACATCGCAGTCAACAACGACTTTCATCAGTCACGAACCATATTCGAGCTTTTCGATGGGTTGGCTGTCAAAGATATCGATGTGCCTGTGGCACCTGTCAACGGAGAACATAACGGGGTTCATAAGGAGGCGAACGGCGTATAAGCTGTTGAGGAAAACGGAGCAATTGCTGTGGTATAAACATAGCATTGATATTAGGTAGGGAACGGCGTCATTGCACTTTTCAACAAGCATTCGGCAGGCGGGCAAAGGGAGTTACCATTTCAACAAGCATATATCCAGGCGTTTGGAAACGGGGTCCAGATTTTTCAACAAAAAATCGGAGCACAGGTTTTGGGGCTTAACGGCAACCTGGGAAAAAGGGGTAGGCTGAACGCGGGTTGTGCTGCATCATATCTCAACGATACCCCAGCAACGAAGGTGATGATTTCGAGTACGATTATTTATTTTTATTTTCTGTAAGCCGAGAAATTATTAGGGCGGCATCTAGCGAGTTGAGGTAGTACGTACGCCTGAAAAGAGGCATGTCATCGGTAACAAGACAAGGCGCATTTGCCACTAGAGATGACGAGATAAAGCCGATAAATTAAATAATTTTCAAACGCATTTATTACCAAGCTCGATAATTAAAATCCAGGGGAACTCTTATATGAAGATGTTTATCTCTAGTGATTATTGCCGATATCTCCGATTTATCCCGCTCATATAAGGGGTCCGGTTATGGAAAAACAAAGCGTTAAGGTGTGCGGCTCAACAAATCAACGTCGTATTACCTAGATGATACATACCGAATCTAGATTCTCAACTCTTATCCCTGCGCTACTCCCATATAAGTTTAGGTTCTTTTATAAGCGAACCAAATGCCGACTATCATTGAACAAGGTGCCTGTGTACAACGCTCAAAGCGTCTTAGGACCTGGATTTTGTGGGATGCCAGTTCCGCTGCGGATTTCGCACTAGTTTAAAATGAAATAACTTAACTTAGGTACTCCTTAACTACATAGTAGCAAACTGTTAAGGGTTCTCTCTTAAATAAAAAATAAAATAAGAAAGCAGCTCAATTCAAACTGTATATACCGTATATGTCAATAATGGAATCATGTTTTGAATTATAGAAGGAAGGAAGTAAATAAACATAACGTAAAAGCTGACATTATTTTTTCTAACCTATCAATCTACATAATGTTGATTGCCTAAGTGTGGATTTCTGCACTTCCTTTTCTTTTTTCCCCCTATTGCCCTTGACCGCAAACGTACGAGGTACATTTATGATGCACCCCCTGTCCTACGCTGTTCCTTACTAGTTTTTTTCTTTTCCTCTTCAGAATTACCTTTTTCATTGTTTTTCACGACGGAAAACATTTCCCCCTAATAATTCGTTTTGTTTGGGCAGGTTTAATCATGGATACGATTATTATCAGCCCGGAGCTGCCTCCGAACGATGTCTTACTCTTGCGGAACCTTGCCGAGGACATCAAACAATACCAAGAAAATCGGTCCGGCCCGTCTAACAAAGACGCCGTCTCGACACCCGGCCAAGAGGCCGTTGATGGAGGTAGGTCCCGTCCCATCCCGTTAATCAGAGTAAGGGAGTTGGGGTAGAACCTTACCCAAGAAGCTACTCCGGATCCGGGTTCCGTGTTGACTGGGATTTTTATTATAGCCCTTGGACATGGCGCCCCGTCGTCTAGGGATGAGCACGACCTAGCTCGCATGAGAGCGCTTAACGATCCGGCACACAAAGAGTTCGAGCCAACCATATTCTCTTCCGTGGACTTTCGAGATTTATCATCACGACTGCACCCCGTGGTATACCAGTACATATTGAAACCATATATCAAATGGGCTCAGGGCATTGCGAGACATCCCAGGGTATGTATAGTTAACAATATCGCATCTTATGTTCCTTCCATCATTATCCCCGACACATACTAACATATTTTTTGCAGTGCGTGGTCATAGTTTGGTTATAAGTCTAAAGTCTCCTCGTAAAGAGTTTACTAACGAGAATATAGCGATGTGATTATGGTTACTCACCTAATCATCTACTTCACCACTTCAGTCCCTAGCGCAATATGGCTCTTCTACCATTTTACCTATCTGCATGGGATTATCCACGCTGCTATGCAGTTTTACTACGTAGGCACATATACGTTGATGATGCACCAGCATATTCACGCAGGAGGCGTGCTACGTAAACAGTCTTGGGTCCATCTGTTCGACATAACATTCCCGTATATTACCGACCCTTTGATGGGCCACACATTTAATAGTTATTATTACCATCATGTTAAACACCGGTCAGTTTTCCAAGTCATCCTCGAGGTTCCTTCGTGTATAACAGCTAACACTTTCATAGTAAGCAAAGAGCTCTACTATTTTCTCATATCCTCGGCACCTGCTAGGTGGATGTACAGCGAACTTTTTATAAAGGCAGAGTTCAAATGCTAACTCTATATATCTTGGCTGTTAGATCACGTTGAAGGTAACGGCCCTGACGACCTCTCCTCGACTGTCCGGTACCAGCGCGACAACATCTGGCATTTTCTCCACTACGTTGGACGTTTCTATTTCTTGGTCTGGTTGGACTTACCCTTGTACTTCCTCCGGAAAGATCGTCCTACGTTCGCACTGAAGGCAGCGTTTTGGGAGTTATTTAGCTATTCTATGCTACTAACTCTATTCCGGCTGAATAGTCGTCCGGCGTTCTTCGTATTCTTGCTCCCATTCTTGTTGCTTCGCTTAGGACTCATGGTGGGTAACTGGGGTCAGCACGCCCTCGTGGACGCCGACGAGCCTGACTCCGACTATCGATCCAGTATTACCTTGATAGATGTTCCTGTAAGTTCCTTTTTAGCTAGGCTATAACCTGTCGCTTACGTTTTGCTGCTTACCACTAACGATGTCAAACTTGTAGAGCAATAGATATTGCTTCAACGACGGGTATCACACGTCGCATCATCTAAACCCTCTACGGCACTGGCGCGAACACCCCGTGCACTTCCTGGCCAACAAACAGACTTACAGCGCGGAACACGCGCTCGTCTTTCACAACATAGACTACCTGGAGATTACGTTGCGATTGTTGCTCCACGATTACGAGCATCTGGCGCGGTGCATGGTACCGATTGGGGAGAAGCAGATCGCCATGAGTATCGAGCAGCGTGCCGCCTTGCTCAAGCGCTGCACGCGACGCTTCACCGAGGAGGAGATCAAGGAAAAGTTTGGGGCGCCTGTCAAGTTGGCCTCTAAGACTAAGTGATGGATAGTGATGGATAGTGCTGGGGTAGGAATCGAATTTAATCTTTAATCGGCAACCCGTCCGGTGACGGAATGAGCTAAGAATAGACTAGGTTAGATATTTATCACCGGGCATCTCCTTAATGAGAAGGAGTATTTTCAAATTTTATATACCCAGGGCTTCCGAATAGACCAAGGTTACTTTATACACCGTGTAATAAATTTAATACTATCATCGTCGTTTGTTTTAGTGACCTTAGTAAAAGATGCCGCGGGACCTCAGCCTGCGAGCGAATGTCGGCCGAGAATATTCCGGATTTAGTGGGTGTGTTCGCTTACTTAAGGTGTTCGCTCTACATTACCTAAGGTAGTTGCTTTAGGTAAGTAGCTGCTTAGTTCGGTAGGTGCGTTACTGTTGCCTTACTATTACTATGGAGGCTGATTGTCCCTCCGGCTACCCCGTTTGTTCTCTAAGTCGTAACTACTTCAACTTCACCAACTGTTTCTACTTTATTCTACTATATCCTACCGTCTTCTTAAAGAGGAATCTGATTGCGTTTTATTTCTTATTTATTTTGCAGTCAGGGGCGGGAAGCAGGAAGTGAATTACCCAATACCTTGAGAACCATTTCTCTTATAATCTCGTGATTATCGCCAGCTTGCTCGTCATCTTTAAAGACCTCACCCTGCATTTAGTCGTCTATCCGCATCCACTTCCAGCGGTCTGGCATCGAGAATCATGGCTTCAGCAGATGAGCGGAATGAGAGAACCATACATACGGCGGCTTGTTTGGTCATCGGCGATGAAGTCCTTGGGGGAAAGGTACGGGTCTTGTCCCATCTGGCTAGTTACCTTATATGCTGTGCTTCCAGCTAACTCTATTAGACCACTGATGTGAGATTCTATACGGACCATGGTTAAATATCCCCAAGACTAATCTCTAATATCAGACAAATTCCGCTTATATGGCGAGGTGGTGTTTTTCTCTAGGCATAGTAAGAGCCCCAGCGGTTAACTCCTATGATGAATGCATGCTAAAGTTCATATGTCGTTATAGAACTTAAAAAGAGTCGAGGTCATTGAAGACGACGAGGATGAAATCGTAGAAGCGGTACGGAGAATGAGTGACCGCTATGATCTCGTCGTAACAAGGTACCTATACCAAAAAAGAAATGGCTTCTTACCATATAGACAGTGAAACTAACTCCCGTTTAGTGGTGGCATAGGACCGACGTAAGTATAAAAAGCTTATCGTGATCTTTTACAAAAAGCTCACCTGGAATAGACACGATGACATCACCTACCAATCCATCGCCAAGGCCTTCGACCTGAAACTCATATTGCACGAAGAGGCATATGAACGGATGAAGAAGCTCACCAAGCCGAGCAAGTCTCATCCGAACTTTAGTTGGGATGTAGAATCCCCAGCTAAAACCGCCCGGCTTAGGATGGTCCATTTACCCATTGATGAATCACGCGACCTGGCAAAACAAGCCTTATTTCCGCGTGACGATCTCTGGGTTCCCATTTCCGTGGTAAATGGGAATGTTCATATTCTTCCAGGTGTACCAAGATTGTGTAAGTTGCTAAATTAGTTTGAACTTCTGCACAATAATACTAATGACTACTAGTCGAAAGCCTTTTACAAGGTCTCGAGCCGTTTATAGCCAACCGGCTGGTAGACCCCGCCGGTAAAGGCATGTTTAGAGCTATTATCTCTACGCCGATGGGCGAAAGCGCTATTGCTGGTTACCTCACCGATTTGGCAGCCAGAGTCGGGCGTAAGAATGTGAAAGTCGGAAGCTATCCTCAATGGGGAAAGAAGAACAATACAGTTACTCTTGTCGGAAGGGACAAGGAGTATATCGAGGGTTTAATACCGGAGGTTGTACAGGCAGTCCAGGGAAAGCGAGTTCAAAATGAGGGAGAGGATGATGAGCCAGAGGTCGCAGACTCGACATATATCAACTAGGGGCAGATATTGTTAGGTCGTCCGACTTCTTGATAGAGGCCTACCGACAGCTCGGCGCTATTCTTCCATGTCCTTTCATAAATGGAGAAGGTGAGAAGGAGATCTTCGATGATTGTACAGCTAATTCGGCCGATCTGTAAATGCTATTATCTTCTGTCGTAAGGTTCCTCTTTTCTTGCATGAATAATATGATTCCTTCCGGAATTCGACTAGAACCGGAATTGACCTACGCAAAGCGTTGCTCAGCTGTAAAATATTATTTTCGGAACCCTTCTCGGCGTGGCCGCGGACAGTTGCCCGTCTTCGCGGGGTTGATTTGCCAATCCTTGCTCAGAAGGCGACCATTCTGGTTAGAACATCTTACCCATGACAGCACATGCATGAGAGATACATAACTAGTGGGCTTCTAGAAAAGTTAAAAATGGTTCTGGTTTCTGGAGTAGAAAAAGGATCATGAAAATCACGCGTCTGAGGGTAGATACAGTTATCACTACTTAGTATGTAAATAGACCGATGGGGTTAATGCTAAATAACCTTGTCACGATCGCATCGCGTCGCGTTGATGGATCGATTAGGGTATTATTAAGATCAAGGCTAATAAGTGTAATTGTTCATTAGGAGAAAGGAAATGAAACTCATTTCCAATTCTAGACCCGTGTCGTATTGTCCTTGTGGATTAAATTTTAGAGGGTCTTTGTTCTCTGGGCAATGAAAATACCTACCTTTATTTCGCTATACGTTTGAGTCTTTCGATCAGGAATTATTGTTCATCGTTATGTACGTGTTTGAAATAATCAATCAAATTTATAGAAACCGAGCTGAGACGGATAATATGTATAAGGGTAATCAGCGCTGTTTGAATATCGCAATACTAATGTTGGGCGAGTCGGGACGATTGCCCACGTAAGGACCCATGATGCCTGTACAATACATAGGATGTAGGATGCTGATCGATGGGGAAGCTGGTTGGCGCTGGCGCTCGCCTTGCTCGCGTCGTCGAAGAATATGATGGGCTAGCGGTCGACGTTCTAAGCCAGTTCACCGCTCAGGGTTACATTACCAGCATTACCAGTGGGGTTCAACAGAGATGGTGGCTGGTTGATTTATTTTTTATTTTTTTATTTTTTTGGAGGCTATCAATGGCTGGCTAGCTTCCTTTCACGCGAAGCTGCCATTGAGCGACAAGAACGGTGTGTGGTCGCCTTGGAAGAAGCAATTAGGGCTGCTGCTTTACACACATACCTACATAGGATGGGGGAACGGGATGGCAGTGGTTCGCGTATGTGTGTATATGCAGATATGTATGTGCGGACGGATGGTGATGTGGTCGATGACATCGACCCAGAGAATGAATATTCCGGCCTTTGCAAACGCACAAAGTGGGAGCTGTATGTAGGTTACACATCACCTACATATATAGGTACATATATAGGTGGAAGCCATCCAGTTGGCGCTCGTCGACAATCCTAATCGAGACTCGGACGATCTTAGCTGTGCGGGTTTATTGATTGATATGAGCCATGATAGGTGCGCGAAGAAAAGGGACCAAACCAATATGTGGGATGGAGGATAGAAAGGTTATAGCGAGTAGAATGGAGCGAGCGGGTTGGATTTTAGGTGCTCGTAGTAGTTGTTAGTAGTGTATGATATGGCCCCTGACATGTAAGATGTGACTTCGAATTTTAAGGTTGGTGGAGCATCGCATTCAGATGCTCGTTAAAGCCGTGTAAGTGGTCGCCGAGGCGCTGGAGAGGTCTAGGGGGCGGTTACCTGGTTAGGTAGTTCTCCTTTCTTCATGGGAGTTTTAGTACATCTATACTAAATACGGTTATGTCTATTTAAGCTATAGGTAGGTATGTATAGAGTATTTGCTGGAGCGAGAGGCTACCATATATAAAACAATGCTAACGAAGAAAGGCATGCAATTACCGAATTAATAAAGGTTCCAAGGCACCGCTTGTGTTTCTTCGTTTACATAGTATTGTACATACCGAGGTGGCATCGTTCGACTTGAAGCAAAGCTGACGCAAAACATACGGAAGATAGCGCAGACTATCTAGTTAATCATCTTACATAGGTACTTTTACATAAATACATCCATTCTAGTCATATATTAAGTGATTTAGCTTTATGATAACTAACTACATGTAAAGGTAAGTAGGTACTGACCTATGCGTAGTAATAAGCCTCTTCAATAATATGTTTTTTTTTTCAGCTATCAATAAGAATCGTAGACCTTATCTCATCTTATTACCTAGCCCGTATGTGTAGCGCTTAACCATAGCTATATCTTACGTAGTCCGGCAGGGTACATACGCTAGCTAAGTGCCTGGGGTAGGTAGGCACCTAAGGTATCGGTCATTTTATATCCAACCAAATCTCATGTATGTACTTAAATTGATATGTCACTACTAGATATGTACATACTTCCCTCTTCACCTAATCCCGCTTTTAATAGAAAATCTCAAGGCGGACGGACAGGTGCATTAAATAGGTATTTACACTAACTCAAGCAATTCTATATCGGGCAATATATCATGCTTATGTAAAGAGATATATGTACATTTCTTACAGTACATCGTCAGCGGTCATTCCCTGCTTTGGCTTAGCGCAGTCCACTTTTGGAATTAAAAGAGGTTATCCACCTGCCAATTGACTGATCTAGCAGTCTGGTGATCCGCGCCTGTTAATCAAAGCGCTGGAAATCATATGAGAAACTTTAACAGCCAATGTCCAATCAGCCAATCAATCTCATTTGGTCCGTGATCCTCCTCTGCCCCACTGATATCGTATGTGCGCCGGAGAGGTACCTACGTGCAACATCTATATACACTTAATACGCTTAAGCATACACGCATTTGTAAGTATATTCAAGTACCTCTCTCTCTCCTTGTCTTTCATGTCTTCCATGTCTGCTTATGCCAGGTAGGTTAGGTACCTAAGGTACCTAGCTAAAATACCCACCCCCTTTGCAAGTGCTATGGCCAAGCAACCAAAGCAATCAAGCGCCCCCATGCGTTCCTTCTCTTTACCTCCAAAAAGTGACCGCGTAGTGAAATCAACTCCCCCCTTCTTCGCCGTCACTGCATTCTAAAGTGATCCACGGACACATACACATGCACGCGACGAGATATCTTCTCTTTTTTCTACCTGTACCACCAAGATCCGTCCCGATCCTTTTTTTACTTTTGTAATCCCTTTCTTTCGCTTCCCCTCCTTCCCGCGAGATACTGCCGTAAACCGGCAACCGCCTCTCTTCTCGCCTCTATTTTTCTTACTTCTTTTCAACCAGCAACCAGAATTTCATCGCCGACGGCCATCATCTTAGAATCTTACAATACCTCTACCTCTCCACAAATATCGCCTTTTCTCTGATTCCCGACCCTTAGAACTCCCGCCGAATCCGTGACGACAAAATCCTTTGTCCGGCCATTTGAGACAATCTTAACTGGTACGGTGCTGCATCAAAACCGCACACCCCCTTGACTCAAATTTCTGTCGGTTCCCTCTACTGCCCGACTCAGTTCGAACATTTATCAGTAGAACGACGCATCGTTGCCAATTGGCGAATTCACAATGGCATCCAAAGTTTGTCCTCCCGTTTCGCGCGCCTTTCTCCAATCGGGAGTATCCATCACTGTTACTAACTTCTTCGTTTTTGTGTAGTTCTTACGAGAGTACAAGCTGGTTGTAGTTGGCGGAGGAGGTGTAGGCAAATCTTGCCTAACCATTCAATTGATACAGAGTCATTTCGTCGACGAATATGATCCTACTATCGAAGGTTCGTCGGAATCCGAACACTATTATTTCAGCTCTTTGTGAACCGTTCTAGAACTGACATGCTTTCTATCGCTAGATTCCTACCGCAAGCAGTGCGTTATTGATGACGAAGTCGCCCTACTTGATGTGCTCGACACAGCCGGCCAGGAGGAATACTCGGCCATGAGGGAGCAGTACATGCGCACCGGTGAAGGATTCCTTCTAGTCTACTCGATTACCTCGGATCAAAGTTTTGAGGAGATTCGCACTTTCCAACAACAGATTCTACGAGTTAAAGATAAGGATCCTGCAGACTATTTCCCGATGGTTGTGGTGGGCAACAAGTGCGATCTGGAGAGTGAACGCGAGGTCCCCCGACAAGGTATTTAACTCTACAGTATTTTCTATTTTCTATTGTAGTCTTGCTAACCAATGTCATAGATGGCGAGGCTCTGGCGAAGCAATTCGGATGCCCTTTTGTTGAAACATCCGCCAAATCCCGAACAAATGTCGACAAGGCATTTTTCGATCTCGTTCGAGAAATCCGCAACTACAACCGTAACATGCAAGGCTTGTCGACGAACAATGCCGGTAACGGTGGTTTGAATGGCCCGGGTACTAAGATGGAAGTGAGCGAGGGCGAAGCCGAAGCTGGTTGCTGCTCTAAGTGCATAGTCCTATGAGGTGGTTGAAGACGGTGCGAAAGTAATCGGTTCATTGATTGAGCAACGCATATGAGAAGATGTGGGTGCTTACCTACCTACCTGGACGTGTGTAGGGTGCGTATGCGTTTGTGTCTATGCGCATCCGACATGAGCACTATGAACGATCTTAGCAGATTCGGGACGTATATGTCGATGTCGGTTCGATCGATGCAAAATTGTTGCATGGTAATGGGAGTCGGGGTCTTGCAACTTATTATGGGACCAAGCAAAATCATCAGCATCTGAAAAGGGGAATAAAGGGACAAATCGAGTGGTTAATCTACTGTTACCCGAGAAGACAACACTGTCTATGCGGATTTGTGGACGACGCGTTTAGGAGTACAGAATACTTCGCGTGGACCTTCTCGGGTCCAGATCATCGCAGATGATGTGGAAGATGATCTCTCCTGCTGGTCATTTCACTACTTGTAATGTTCTTCGCTTATTTTCATCTTCGTTTTTTTTTAGTGGTTTCATCATAGATTCCCCCATTTCAAGTTCAGGCGTCAGTTCGAATAATCTGGTCTCAGAAACCCCGTCTCCGTGCATGTCTACTCCTAAGTCCAGCCTAAAGCAGCAGCATACCTGTGATATATTGCCTTTAGCAACATGGCGACTTAATGAATTATACAGCATCCTAAGCCACTAACGTCCATTACCTATAACCCGTGTTTAACGAATTTCAAGGGCATACAGGATTGAGCACAAGAGAAGAGGGTCGCATAAAAATAAGCAAAATCAAAGCGTAACTATGAGCCATCCATTCATTCCTCTAAGTCATTGCTAAAGTAACTTCACTTTCGCTGACTTAATAGGTAGGTTACCTAGGTAAGAATGGGGTTGTGTGGTGATAGTTTACGTTGTTAAAGAAACAATGTTGTTAAGAAACACAATCAGTTCGCCTCGTTGCTAGACAAAGAGCAAGGGAATATCCTCCTCTCCTCTCAACGATGTTATTTGGCAATAGTGAAATTGTCCAGCACATGAGAACGATCAATTGCATTGTTGCCGGCGTTGGATCATTAATATAATAGCATGCTCTACTCTCTGTCGTGAGAAAGAAATCTCAGCATGATCATTCGATAGAACGAATAGACATACATACAGAATTTCGAAACTCTCACAGCTTGATATATCAGGATATATCTATCTTATTTTATTGACTTATTCTTAAGCAAACCTAGTATTCATTCAAAATGGGTCGCGGAATAATCCGTCGAAGAGATGATGACGATGAGGATGACAATGACCCCCTATTTATGGACCAGTTCAATCCTCGGGCACGTCAATACAGCCCCAATGCAGTTTGGAGGTATTATTTCCTTGAGCACCGTCTTTCAGAGCTCGGGGAGTGGCGTAGGAGGTATCATCCTACCAACCCTCGTTGCGATTATTGTATGATTTTCAACCTCTTTTGCAATGTCCCTCAGGGGTGTGCGCAATGCCTGGCCGTCAATCGTCCATGTACCGGCGCTCCCACCCCTGCGGCGTTGGCTCACCCGCAACCAAAGCAGCACCACCTATTCGGTCACCCTGTGAAACTCGACCATGGTATATTCGACGATATTCCCATCGACCCGCGTCTACTCGACGACCCTAATTATCAACCGCCACCACGACCGCAGCCGCCGCAGCCGCCGCAGCCGCAGCCGCAGCCGTACTCGCAACCATGGACTCAAACGTTCGTGGGCCAGGGTTCCTCTTTTCCCGTAGTCCCTGGAGGGTCTCAATCGTCGTATCTCGGTGGTCTTGTGGGCACTGTATTCGACCGCAACAGACCAGATGCAAGTAGTTATACTCTGCCACCCGCAGGAGGCTTTCAAGGAGGCTTTAACCAAATGCCTGATCCCGTACCGGGCCCTTCGTTCGCTCCTGTATCGGGTCCTACACCTGGTTATACTCCTGCTCCTGCTCCTAATTCTAATTTCTTTCCTGATCTCATCCCTAGTTATAACCCAGCAGCGGACCCAGGTTATTTTCCTCCCCCTCCTCCTGCTCCTGCTCCTGCTCATTATCATCCCCCACAATTCACTCATAATCCTGCCCCTCCCCCTATTGCTGGCCCATCAAACGTCAATAGGGACGATGAGTTCATTACCCCTGAAATACGAGCTAGGTTGCCAGCTGATTGGGTAAATGGCTGGCCGCCAGGCATTCGTCCACCTCAAGTGGATCGTGCTGGGAATCCGATTACCGAATGCGACGCCTGTCGCTTAGATCGTCCCGGCTACCCTTGCGATGCTTGGTCAGGAGTGTCTCCGGGAGTTGGTTGCACTTACTGCAAGAAGGGTGATCGATCCTGTCGTTGGGGTGATGTACGCCTAGCTCCGCGACCTGACGGCATCACGGAGCCGTTAAGTTGTGATCGATGCGTGAGAACGGACATCTTGGGCTGTTCCTGGCGAAATAGACCAACTGGTGCCCCCTACGCGCCTTGTACAACCTGTGTGGCTGCTGGTGAGCCGTGTACCCACGGGTCTCAAGGAGATAGGCCGGGCTTAAGACCCGATCAACTTCTTGGTAGCGACCATACTCACTTCACAGTCACCTGTTATCTAGCTGGTAATTTTTCAAGACGGCCAGCGGCAAGTAGGGAGCGACAGAGCAATCAGGCGAGATCGTTTAATATTGAAGGCCCGAGAGTTCGTAGCCCCGGGCAGATTCGTACCAGGCCCGTGCCACCCGCCGGGTCTCAGCCGACCACGCCCACGTTTGACAATACCACTAGGCGGCTTAACCTTTCCGGACGGCGAACCGACGGAGGCCAGCAATGTATGCTGTGCGCTAGTAGGGTTTCGCAAGGCCACACGCGTGCAAATAGCCGGAGATGTAACGCTGATCCCTCGATTCCTAGAGGGTGTGACCAATGTAGCAGTTGGGGAGTGCAGTGTGTAGTAGACGGAGCAGCTCGTAAGTTATATTTCCAATTCCCCCCTTTTCCACCTTCATCTCCTCCTTTTCCTATCTGAATCCTTTGGAAGTCGTTATATACTGACTCTTATTTTTATAGTCCCACCTACAGTACACCTTACCGCTGGTACTTTACGGGACCAGGCCCATTATTCTCACTGCGAAGCGTGCAATCGAAACGGTAGACCGTGCGATCGGAAACGACCATGTGACTGCTGTGTAATTTTTGGAGTAGCATGTCGGGACATATCTGCTAGGGGGACATTCCATCGAGGAGTCCCGGGGGATGACCAGCCCCTATATTACTTGAGAACCGGGTTCGGAGACGGTGGTGTCTATACCCTGCCCCCTTCAAGAGGTAATCGTCCTGCGCTGCCTATGGACTACCATCTCCAATACCGGCCGTCAAACGGCCTTTCAGGAGTTGGTCTCGGTTATGTGGATGAAAACAGGCGGCCGCTCACGATACCACAACCACCTCCTGGGCAGCAAGTGGACTACCCAATTGTACCTTATGTTCCTCAAGCATTACCGCCGAACGTTCCAGTTGCTCCAGTTGCTCCAGATGTTCCAGGTCAGCAGGGTTCGCCCTTTGCTGCCCCAGCACCGGCACCGGCACCGGCACCACATACACCTATTGCCCAACAGGGAGGCATACCGATTTATTCGCCATTGAATGTTGCAAACCCGGTACAAGAAAGTCCTGGTTTTAACCCAGTCCCTTCACCATCGAATGACCCTTCACCATATCCGTCATCCCCTCTTGATCCAGCTCAGCCGAATCCTTTCGACGAGTCGGTATTTGACTTACCATTTTCGCCGCCTAATTGGGGTTCGCCAGTACCAGAACCCTCTGGCGATCAGCAAAACCTACCGGAATACCAATCGCCATCTAATATATTTCAACAATCTCCTGGCGATCAGCAAAACCTACCGGAATATCAATCGCCATCTAATATATTTCAATCATCTCCTGTCCCCGCACCGCCTATGCCTGGACCACCCCTACAGCCCCCAAGTCCAGTGCAATCTGCTGTTGCTGGACATGAAATGAGCGAAGAGGAGTATCAGGTTATGATGTCTGCCTGGACAAATTATAATGCGATGGTAGACGAGCCGTCGCCCCAGACTGGAGGCGATCCTCAACCGCAACCTGATAATCCTCAACAGCAGACAGGAGACCACTCTGCCCCGTCACCCGCGTCATCTTCAGGGGACACTGAGTATTTTAGTTTATTCGGTTCGCCAGTGAACCAGCCGGCTTCATTGCCCACGTGGGATCCGCAACCTGCTTCGCCGCTTGCGTTACAACTGCCGGCTCCTAGTAGTCCTGATGATGTTAATACAAATGGTTTCCCAGGCGAGTTGGCGAATTTCGAATCAGATGGTAGTTTATGGGGTTCACCACAAAGCCAAGCTTCTTCTTCTCCGTCACCCGGGGGGACACAACAGACGACTCGGTTTTTTGCGCTGAGAGAATCGGATACTTCTTTTGGGGGGTTTACAATCCCGCCTGAGTCGACCGCGCAGCCTACTATACCCGGCCAGGCAGAGCTTGCGCTACCGCTGCCGCCGCTGCCGGGAATAGATAGACAGCAACAGGTCGAGTTGTGGACACGACTCATAGCAGCGGATAACGATCAGCAGGATGTGGCAGCACACAACGCCATCACCGATGGTCAGTTGATCGACGAGCGACTTGGCGTAGTTGACTCGGCAGAGGAGTACGCGGCGCTCGGCCAGCCATCCCATGTTGCCGGGTATGGCGTTGTTTGGCGTGCCGCACAGCGTCTGGTGAGAGACTATTATCAAATAATCGATCTACAGACTATAAGAAGACGATTGAGGATGGAAATGCTTGCTAGGATCCCTGCAGAACAGTCGCTCGTGGTTACTTTGTTGAAACAATTCCTCGAAGGGCGGCACACAGCTGCTATGCAGGCCCATATAGAGCAGGTTCCGGTAAACCTCAATTACCCAAACCTACTTATACAACATGTGTCTCAGATGAACCCGGGAAATTGGCCCCTGATATATATCACGCCTGAGCCCAACCGCCGTCCAGCCTCTCCGGGCCCCAATCGTCCCGTCTTCTACGACCTAGGTACAGACCCGGTGCTCATAGATGAGCCTGAGCCACGTCCCACTAAGGAATCGGGCATCATCAACCGGGAGTTACTCGTACGACCGCGACCACCACATCCGAATCCGACGGCGCGCCCCGTGCTTGCCTATATGCCTTTTGACCGGATGTTCCCAGGCGGAGCACTAACAGCTGAGAAGACAATGGAGTGTCTGATGCACAGGGACGGAGCGCCGTGCAGAAGGCCTACGAGACTCGTCTGCGAGGATACACGGCACTCGGCGCCTCTCCCGGTATGTCTCGATTGCGAGATGGAGTCCCGTAGGCGTTTTGCATATGGCATAACAGTGCAAGTAGAACAGCTCCGCGCATTCGCGTGTGCCGAATGTCTCGACGGCCCCGCCGTTCTCGCCGCGACATACAACCGGACCGGGCAACGTGTGTATGCCCGGGGTCCCAACGCGAACGGTATAGACCCGGCCTGTCCCTCGGCGAGTCTCGGGTTGTCCAACGTCGGCGGGTTCGTCGGTCGACTCGGCTACCTAAGCGGATGTTTTTGCATAACCAAGATGCTCGGCCGCGTGTGCTGCACTCCTCACAGGCTGGAGTACCACATCCATATGGAACGGAATATTCGCGCGATGGAGGAATATCTCCAGCAGACGTACGGACGAACTTCGGTCTGTCCGTTCTGCAGAGTGCGGCCAGGCATCGACGCCTACGATTTCACGGGCCCTAAGGGCGGCGAGGGTAAGAATAAGGTCTGGGTCTGCAAGGCGTGCCACGATGTAGTTTACTACCCTGCCGGGGAGCCCGCGTCTGTGGGCAACTGGGATGGGTTGAAATACATGTGCGGCGTGTTTCCTCCTGGTACGAGCTCATCAAATTCCTCGCCGGTGGCGGGACCTAGTGGAACGCAGTAAGTAAGTCGTAGATAATGCGCTTTCTCTCGTAGCTTTCTCCGGCGTATGCTGGTAGGTAGGTGCGATACGGTCGGTGAAGTCAAGGTATGTATTCTCCCGTGCTTCTAAGAGTAAGTAAGTGGTAGAGATTACATGGCGTGCAAATCGTTGAGTATACGACCACCTGAACGAGTATAAGAGTTGACATAAAGGTAGGCCTAGCATCACGATGACCACCTGATAATTTAAATCTTAGATAATAATTATGATTAGTTAGTTAGTATCATTTATTAAGAGCATGTAGGCGTTTTTAACCCTTCGCTGAGTATTCGTCCGTCTAGAAATGTAAGTGATCCTTAACCGATATCTTGGACTGTGCTACGCCATATTGAACCTACCCTCAGTACAAAGAACTTAAGCAGTATAAAAGAAAACGTACGCTTACAACTACGTGGCGTGGGCATTATAAATATAGCAACAAAGCTGTCCCTAGGAGAGCCATTTTATAAATATATCCCACGTGCTGATGGATACCGGAAACTTTATATATAGCACGCTTCATTAAAGGTGACTAGGTAAGTAAGACAAGACGCACACAAAGTATCTTTGATTTACAACTGACAAACTACATCAATTACGGCCTCGGTTTTAGTTCGGACCCAGGATCGAATAGGGGTAGTCAAACGCAATGACGAAAAAATGACTGCTGACTATTTGCTTCCACGTAGGTATGATATTACAATCATCCGCATTCATTCATCTCGAGTCCTTTACACATTACATTATGGGAACTCCTCACTGACAGACAAATCATACGCCACGAATTAGAAAAGTTTCATCATTATACGTTTCCCATTGTACATCTTTCTATTTATGGTCCTCATCCTCAAACCCCGGACACCGAACATCGAACGGCTTCTTTTGATTATGTGGTGTACATATCATCTCGTTGGCAAAACTTCGCCATCGATCTAGTAGATCGGTAGTTTTTACTCCGTCGTGCTGCGGGTAAAAACTCAGGTGCCCGACTACGGCGCGTGTATCGATGATGAACGGTCGGCGCGTTCGCTTCGGGATCGTAACCGTGATGTCTTGCTCGTCGTCTTCCGCGATCGGAAGCGAGTTCTTGATGTCGTGGCCCCATAACGCCACGAAGTTGAGGTTATAGCGCTTGTATTGGGTATTGTACAGCTGTTCTGCTCCAGGACCTCCCTTATTTTGTGCCTGGTACTTCAGTATCGGTGTGGATGAGTTTGTCATGTTCGTAAGGTTAGGGAACTCCATCGGCGATCCGAAGAAGTAACGTGAGATAGCATTATCTTCCAGGTTTTTCAATAACGAGTATTGCTGCTGGCTCGCAATAGCCCAGGATTTCCAGGCCGCCTCGTACATGGTCTCGACGCCCTTATCGCCTCCACGTAGATAATTGAGCCCCATCGGAGTCTTCATCAGATCAAAGGGGGCGTCCGGTAATAAAAGGAATGGGTGACCGTTATATGGGGGTTTGGGGTAGATCTCATCATCCATGGCTATACTCTTGAGGTTGCTGATCTTGAGCTCTGGCAGGCTTGAAGCTGGAAAGCGGCTCTTTTCGGATGGTCGCCACGAGTCGGTGGCATTATATGACGGCTCTTCACTCGGGTCAGGCCGAAAGGCGTGGATAGCACCAACATGGAAGTGCTCATAACCCGTAAGAGGGCTATTGACTAAATTCGCAGAAATGGCAAAGGGGTAGGGAATTGCGATCCGGGTATGAACCAACTGAGGAATAGCATCCGGGTGGATAAAAATCTAGAACAGACCGAGTTAGAAACCCTCATTTCATGGTTATCGGCAGTCACAGGAATAACCTACAATATCGTCGTCGATCTTCACGTAGATAGTATTGTCCTCCACGACTGAGTCCCATATACACCCATAACTTGATCCTTCACAGGTACCAGCTTCTACGATGTGATAGTGCTCTTTCCTCTCCGAAACAAGGCCGTTCAAGTATTCGAGATCGTCTTCGTTGTTTGTATGCACCATGAACCGAATTTCGTCGAGATATCCCCCATTTGCGGCGAGGTTTTGTTGTAGATAACAGTCTAAGAAGTCAACCGTTCTCTTGCGGCCGTAGAAGACCAGCGCGACAATTTTGACACCCTCAGGCTTCTTCCACCCACCTTCGGGGCCATGGCTCTTGAGTCCTGCTGTGCTATTTCGTGGAATTGGTGTGTATTGGCCCTTCTTGTCCACGGGCCAAGTGGTACATTTTCCGGCTAGGTCGTCGGGCTCATCAGACGCCAGAAGGCCGCCTAGAGGTTGAAAGGGTGTTGATCGATATAGTTCGTGATGGGTCACCTCAAAGATAACCATGAAAAGGCCGATAAAAACTATGCCTATAACGATTAATCGCCTTACTAGGCGATGATGTAGGTAGTGCAACAGCCAGTCGCGGTCCACCACCATCATCGCGGCGAGCTTAGATCGAGCGCGACGGAAATCCATACGTCTTTCGTCCCATGCCGAACCGGGACGCGTTAACGGCCTTGCAACCGGTGATCCTCTCATAGATAATATACCAAAAGCCCTACTGAGGGCGGGAAGCAGGTATGTAACAATGGCATTGCCAAGGGAGATGATGGGGACAATGCTTTTTTTTTATGAGAGTCGGATGGCGTCAAGCGGATAATATATGCAAATTAAAGTGACCTGGCCTACATTAGATGTACCAGTTGGCTGGCACGGCGCAGCGAGCCGAAAGACAAAGATCCGCCATGACCAACAGGGAGCAGGGAGAGATTAGGTAGGGTCTTAGACATCTAGGCAACCGTAGTGTATTCATTTCAAGGGTTAAGTGCCCCTGAAATGCCAAGCACGCGAAAGGACCCGTAACAAATCCTACAAGGACCAAATGAAGTGGAGGGGTCCATTCTAGTGTAGCTAATATACCTAGTGTATGTGCTGTTAAAGAAAAATGTTTGGATGCGTGACACTAATGTTTACCTAGGAAGATTATTCGCAAGTTTACGTTGTAGGAAGAAACCAATAAAACGCGTTAAACTTCTAGAACCGGGATGGAAATTGTTGTCCCATTAATTGCGCTTACTATAGTTAATAGCTGATAGGTAGGATAAAAGCTAATTGTAACCTTTCCTGTACCTATTAATGTAAGGTTCCTGAGTTGATCTGGGGTTATTATGTAATCGCAGACTATATGTACCTAGGTACCTTGTACATATGCACCTGCTCTACTTGATTTAGCGCTTATTAGCGCGGAAATACAAGCGGTTTCGTCAATGTTACCTGGCATCCGAACGCTAGGCTAGGTACCTAACCTAAACATTATCTCGGTAACTTGCGCCACAGCGTAGAAATACACTAATGGCACCATTCCGATCTTGATGTTTAATTTTAGAATACGGCCCGGGTATAAGTGTATAATATGTACTTTAACGCAACTAGCTCTTTTTATATCATCAACGCTATAGTCAACTACCTAGGTAGGCAGGTAGTTCTTTTTTTCCTAACATTAATAGAAGGCAAAAAGGATCATTAAGCTTATCGAATCGGGTAGTGACATAGAATTTTGTTTGTTTTCCAGTTCTCGACTTGCCATAAAAGCCGCTTACACGTGTAGACATGTGTAGACATGTACACGTCTCCGATGGTCATCTCACCGGCTGATACTATCTATACCCACCCAAGGTAGCTCTATAATACAATCGTTTCCTTATATGTATCCAACTCCTGCTATTGATGCAAACACATGTCTATCTCCAACCGTAATCCAATGCAACGTATTGTTCCCCGCCCTAGAAGTTCTTCCCTAATAAGCGCAGTTCTAAACATGACGATTCAAGCATCCTTTTCCAGCTGGACCGCCAACAAAGTATGCAAATGTAACCGCCCGATAAACAAAAATGAATAGATGCAGCATCATTCATATCTCATGATCTTTTATCATGGCCTCAGATGAAGGCATCATCTCTACCCCGAGGCGGATTATGCCCTGGCGGTCGTGGTGGTGAACTACGGTATGTCGTATCCTCGCTATCGCTACGAACTCTATTCCACCTTCTCGACTCGTAATCTTCGTACTCGGTTTCTTTATCGTCGCTTCTTCTCCTTGGCGGACTGTTAGTTATGCCCTTGCCATATCGCTCCGCTCTCTTATCGTCCGAATATGAATCATCTTCACTTTCTTCACCGTCGTCGTAATCATCCTCATCATACCGAGGTGCCGTGGGCATCGAGTGTGAATCATCCTTAACGAGGCCTAATCTTTCTTCCTCACTTATATTCTCCGCCTGTACCAGCCGGCTCGAGTAACCCCGCGATCCTATCCCGTGACGCGACGACGAGTTCCTCGGCGACGGCAGTGCTTGCTCCTGTACACTGTCAGCTTGATGCCGACGGAATACATTTTGGAACGAGAACTGCCGACGTGCTACAGGGACCTCCCCGTGAGGCGGCGGTGTCGGCGGTGCCAGAGAAGATACGCTGGCACTTGGCTTCGGCGTCTCTGTAAACTGGATATGACGCCCAGTGCTACCAGAAGCTATACTAGTAGCCCCTTCGTATTCAGTCCTCCGCAGGCTATCCGGGAGACCGTAAACATGGCCGTGACTAGTGCTATATGGACTAGCTTCGTTTGCGTATTTCTGACCCGGAACAGCAATATCAGTCAACTGTACCGGGTGCATCGGACTTTGGATCCTAGGGTCGTGAGTGTCCTGGGAAAACTCGGGGTGTCCTGGTAGCAAAACGCTCCTCGCCCGACTTCGAATAGTACCGGCTATGCTCGATAGCACACCCGGTGACATTTGGCGACTACGCTCTTCCGCCAATTCTTCCTCGGTAAAAAATCTTGACCTGCCTAAAGGCGGATGAGCTGGCGTGTTGGGAACACTCGGTGATGTTGTCCCACGACTCCTATAACTTCCAAGTGTAGCCCTTCTCCGTCTTAATCCATCCCACTCGTATAACTGTTGGCCATCTTCGCTGACTGGCGCAAGACGCTCCATTTCCTTTTCTTCGCGAAGTCGCCGGAATTCCTCTTCTTCCATCTTCTGTCGAGCAAGAGAAATGCGCCGTACAATGGCGGCGGTTCCACGAATGGCGTCGGCTTTGGGTTCGGTTTCGGGCTGCTCTTGCTCGGCAATTGTCTGAATTTGGTCCAAGTCCCCGGCGAAAAGGGCAGCATCTGGCACATCTTTGGCGGACTTGGACAATTGCAACAGGACAACACCAGCGCAGATAGTAAGAAATCCCATGACCACCGTAACAATTTGCATCGCGGTACCTTTGAACCCTTGGAAGAGGACCGCCGAAGTAATCATAGTCGTACTTGTGAAATAAACATAATAAGTCGGAGTAACCATAGCTGCATTGAACAGGTTGAGTGCTTTCTATAAAAATGTTAGAATACCTCTACCATATAATTGCAATAAACTCACATTTAAATAAATAATCTCCGTCAGCAGTGTCGCTATTACGAAGACCAGAACAATGTATAGAAACCACTGATTAAACTGAGGAGTGCCGCCGGCCTGCGCAACAATAGCAGCACCAAGACCCTGGGTAGCGACGACACTCAAACCCCCGATCCAACTACAGACCGAGATATACGGAAACATATTTTTCTTACCGTATCGTGGCGCAACCCAGAACGCAACGAAAGCACAACCAACTATAATAACACCGATGTAACTTAGAAAACCCGGCGTGACGACGAATTTCTGCAACTCCTGGATAGTCGCTACAGAAGATTCCTCAGGGGCATTTAAGACAATAATCACGGATCCAACTATGCAGAGAAAGCATGCAACCTTGCCGACCATGCTCAACCTCTCTTTTAGGAATATAGCTGAGAGAATGGCGGTGATGACGACTGATAAAGCTCCCAGGGACGTTACCAAGATGGCATCTGTGAAGGCGTAGGCGGCGAAGTTGCAAAGCTCGCCGATAATCATCAAAGTCATTCCACCCCACCAAAAGACGTTCTTAAGATAGCCATAACCCTCGCCGGCGACCTCATTGTATTTTTCGTTTGCTTTGAGCAATCCAACCTTTTTTAACACAAATGATACACCGATGAAGCAACCAGACGCAATCGCCAATGATATACCGATGGCCTTGTAGGCGGGTGGTCGGGTTTCTTTCGCGGGGTCAGTGCTTGTCTCGTTTGCTCTGGCGTATATGTGGTTGGCCGCGACGAGGAGCTGCCCCGTCTGGTCCATATCAGAGCCGCAAGAACGGCGAAAAACGGCCGCCTAGGAATATATATGGATTTTACGTATTTACTGAATCGTTCGTTTATTGTGGGGGAAACTCTAGCTTTCGCAAAGCGTAGGACAATCGTATATAGATGGTTTGTGCAGATCGCGCAGTTCGAATCCTCTAAACATGGGAAGGTAGATGGACAGCGCAGGAGTTCTGATGTTCTCGTGAAGGCGATTCAAATTTATTAGAGTCGTCGCCGTATCGTTCCCAACGTAGGACTTAAGTTACAAACACAGTTGAAGATCGACGGGATAGTCCAACTCTAAATGGGTGAACTTTGAGCTAGGACTTAAGCGGCAGCGGAAGGTTAATCGTATCAGGATATGGAGTGCAGGAAAGGCTAGAAGATCAATTCATCGGGAGGAAACTGTCAATATACGAGTCTTTCGTAGTAGTAAATCAGGAGTTATTAGTTGTGTAACGAAAGGGATACGTTGCGAAATTCGTAGGGGTTTCCGATATTATGGGACGACTTGTAGCGGGAGTAGAACTTAGTGACTACAGACTGTAGTGACTAGGACGTAGGCGGTCGTAGGCGGTCGTAGGCGATATTGAACCGGCCTGGCTCATGAAACGACGGTTAACAAGGAACAAGGAAGCTTGGTACTCTCTCGGGTCGTAATCGCTAAGTAGGATCGAAAAGCGGCTTTGGAGCATTCTATGCTGGATACCTAGCTAACATGGAAAAGAGAGAGGTTGGAAGCGCAATGTAAAAACAAAACAATTAACGAGGTGTGAAAACAAGAGCAAACCAATATAAACGAACCTAGCATTGGAAGATACGTAACTTCGAAAGTTACTTGTCGAATAGGCTGTTGGGAAGGACTTTCCGCCGTCCGATCTCAAGTGTTGATCGCCTGGACGACAGCCCGTAAGTTAGTGTATTTTGCAGGGACTAGCGCCTTACGTACTACATGTCTGCATGTGCATTACATGAGGTATGCAGCGATGTTCAAGTACATGCTGTATGGTTAGTGTTTGTTAGTGCTTTTTGAATACGCACTACTTCGGGGCTCAGCTAGCAGGCTAGCCAACAAAAGCTGAGTGTCGGATCGGAGTATGGCTGTTGCCGAGACCTATCAGTGTTACCATTTGTGTGGCACCGGACCCCGACCATTTTCACAAACTCCACGTTGGATTTAAGGTCAGATTCAATCATTCCGTACTTCGTATCCAGCTGTAGGATTCCCGTTCTTACACTACGTTCTTATGTGCTATGTAATACAGTCGCATCGAATACCTAGATAAGGTAGGTAAATATAAAATATATGCATTCACTTATATAAAACCTATATTCTTAGGCTGTGTATAAAATATTCACGATACTTACAGCAACATCTTTGATACATAGAGGCGTTATGTACGTCGGTTTCCGAAGCAGCCGGAGAGGTCTTGGCTACCAAACTAACCTACATGTTTGTGCTGACGGCTCGATCTAAGTTCCAGGTTCGAATGAGATCTCGACCAACGCCGATCTTGAACACTTTCAGGTATTCCCCCTTCGAATAACCAACCCTGCATAACGTAAGGAGAGTTGCATCGCGTCTCCGCGCTAAGAGAATGCGACCAAGTGATGTCAACGAGCAACGAAGCAAGCTAAAGCAGGTTAACCGCTGAGGTTGATTGATACGCTGCTAGATACTGAACATTTGCAGCCACATATATAGCCGGTATAGTATATACCTACGGCCACTAACATTTGGCAATAAAAAGCATTCGACTTGTGACAACTCGGCAGCGCTTCGCCCCCAAGGCGGCAATTGTAGCATCACACCTGCAACGATTATTATAACTTGAATCGTCACCATCTTGAATCATCACCATGCAGCATATAATTGATTGGCCTAATCACTATCATCCATCGTACTTGAAACCGATTTGGGAACCATCTCACCCTACCATGGCTAAAAACAAGGTCGACAAGGTCGTCATCCGGCCGCGTTTAGTACCAATGAGGTCGCCCAAACCCAGCCAGGGATTAGCGCCCGCCAATACCACCGTAACCCCATATCCATCATAAATATATCCCGATTATATGGCTCACGATTGTTTTAGAAACCTGCTGGTTTTAATACCTGATCCACGTGATCACTCGGTAGCTACACTATAAGCAGTGCTTCGGGACATATAATCCAAGTTATCTAAAGATGTTACTAGTAAACAGTCAGGGAAACTTGAGCGACCATCTCCAGGATTTCCCTCGTATTTGTCCCATATGAGAATCTACAGCTTATAGGGGCGTTGGCTGTCTCTAATAAATATCTTTTCGACGATACACAGCACTTCGAGTTTGATTATATATTAAACCCTTAACCTACCCAATACACAGCTTCTATTTACTTGGAAACCTTAAGGGCCTTAAGGGTGGATTCGAGTTACGATCGCCGTACCTAGTGTCCACGTTAAACATCAGCATATCGTCGCTGTTCCTGATTCACTTCTCTGCCTAGGCTTGAACGTTTCCGTGCCGTATTTGGCGAGGAAACGTTATCTATCCGCATTTAGCTCTTGAAAATGTCAAGTTGTCCCTGCGGCAGCATGTAAGACTTACCACTCTCATTCCCATACCAAAAGTATATCAAGAGGACCAACAGCCCCAGGGGAAGCAGAGAAGAAACCTCGCCGACGACTAAGACGCGGTTAGAATGAGGGGATATTAGCACTTAATACCTAGGTAGGTAGCGACGTACTCATTCTCCAAGAAAACCACGAGGCGGGCAATCGTAGTTCACCATCGTCGTTGTGCGGGAAACCCAGAGTATTCACTGCGAAGAGGCTCGTGAGGAAAGAGAGCGGGGTCTATTCGTCCAATTTACATATTAGCGAGGTCGTTATGTGGTCACGAAAGAAGAATTATTTAAGCTCACAAATATGACTGTTATAATTGTGAAAGGTAGAATCATGAGATTCAAGAACCGTGATTGTTCGGCTTCCTTGAGAGATGCCTGGGCCTGCATTGCTTGAATGATGGTACTCAACTAGGTGGATATCACAGTCAGTACAACTACCTAATGAAAAGCACTGTTTGGATGGAAGGAAAAGAAAAACAATATAGGGAGAACTTGGGTTCCCCGCTCATAATATACCTACCCCCTCAAGTGTGGTTGACGCATCGCTTTCCATTCGTCTGACACGTTGGATGAGCGACTGGAGACCACAATCGCGAACGAAGCTCTCCCGCAAATCTCTCGAAGCGAGATTTGCTTGTTTTTGATTTCCGGAGGTACTACTACTAGGCCAGAATATTGCCGCAAAATCCGTAACTACCTTGGCTTGTGTCTCGAAGACTTGCCGTAGCAGATGAAGCTCGTCTCGGATGTCCCTGACACGATAGGTGCAGTGGGCAGCTTCTTGTATAAGCCCGTTGACGTTATTTGGACTCCAATTGCCGCTGCTAAAGTTCTTAAAGAACCCAGCTTCTCGGTCCGTCTAGGTACAAGGCTGGTTTAGCTTAGCTGTCTACTGGGGAAATCTGGTTGAAGATCTACCTCAGTCGCAATCTCGCCCTCGAAAATATCCAAGATATGATTACCAAGTCCCGCCCACCTGAATTCGTCAAGGAACGATACTGTCTCATATAGTATGCGCTTAATGAGGTCATTCGGCGTCATGAGGACATCCAGGTTACCCTGGCGTATCGTCTCGAGAAGGGTATCGGCCGTCATTCCGTTTGCTCGAGACGGTATCGCCGTGATAATTGTATCTTTTGATTAAGTATAATAATCAGCCCATACCATACGAATACCTATATCAAGACACATCTCCTCTACTTACTATCATCAAGTTTCCATAGCCACAGCTGCCGGGACATTAGCCACTTCGGCGAAGGATCCTCGCGGATACGTTTGGCGTTGGCATTTTTAGCGTTTCTACCGCCGTGTCTCCTTGGTGTTATGGGGTCTGTATCTAGTTGTTGCGTGTCTATCACTTTTGACGTATTCAACTGCTGATGTTGCTCTTGTTGACCCCATAATTTCTGCCATAATTTATGGGATAATCCCGACAACTTCCGTCGAAGCATAGATTGGCCACTACCGCTTGAGTCTCCCGGTGAAATAGAAGCATTGCTTTGCCCTTTAGTTCGCGCTTGGTTGAGCTGCTGTGGTCGTTGCGGCTGCTCTTGTTGGCCTCGTAACCCCTGCCATAGTTTTTGAGATAAGAGCGACAACTTCTTTTGCGGCGTAGGTTGGTTAGTACTACTTGATTCTCTTGGTGAAGCAGAAGTACTGCTGCGCTCTTGGTGCTCTTGAAACTGTTTCCTTTCCGTATTTCTTCTCTCGGACCATCTGTATATCACTTGTTCCTTCTCCGTATGCAACTTTGTGGCATCGCTTTCGGTGTTGTAGTATATCTGGTCCAGTGTTTGAGAGTGCTGGACACCGTGCATACCCGTAAAGGGGGAGTACACCTCGTTAAGTTTCTTGACTCTTTGACATTGTGTTTCAAGGCCGTCAAAGCCCGACTGGGCTTGGTCTTCTGTCTCAATATCTAAAAATGGTACCTATAGTATCTCATGTAAACTACTCGGTGTCGAGGGAGTTTCGCATAAGTCGCGTGTGACTTACCACCAAAGATAACATCTTGCCGGGCATGAATGCATCTGTGTTTTTCCATGACTGAACTGCACTGGGCTCTGCCTCCTTTTCGTCCTGCCCTTTCTCAGTGGCAGTTGTATTAGACGGGGAAGTATCTGCTACCTCTGAACTAGTGTTAGTGCTGACTTTGTTATTGAGAAGGAATTTTGCTGTTGATTACTTGTCTTTAGGCCTTCTTTCTTCCTCTGAAGTGTCTTATCGTTCCTATCCCGGCTGTTGCTGGCCTAAACGATACGTTAGAATGGGTTCTACTATTGAGCTTTTTAATGAACGGACGGTGCTAGCATGTTTATGCCGGGCAACGTATTAGGTATTTGAATGAACTTTCCTTCGCATGGGGGATCCTAACACGCGAGTATAAACTGTCTGTCTCGTGGATGCGGATATTCTCTTCGAAAAACCGCCATGTTCGTCCATCTAGCTGTTTGCTCTCATTATATCTAGCGTTGTGTATAATGAAGTCCTTCCAAGTATTAGCCAACCAAGTAGGAGATTGAAATACATTACGGGAAGATCCTTTCTACCTTGATCCATGTCATCTGTGCGTATGTTAGACCAATATCCGCCGACGCTTGTAGTGATGTTTTTGCTCACATTATTAGATGGGAAGTTGATCCATCTCCAAGAATTTTTCCCCACGTCGTCCTCGACTTGTTTCCTCTTATCTTCAAGTTCTTGGTCCCGCGTTTCCACACTCCTGATTTCGCGTTTTCCATTTTCTTGCCCAGTTGCTCTGTATGTATCACCTAAGCCATTCACATACTCTTCTTTCCAGCATAGCCAAGCTTTCGATTTGAATTTTTCCTCGCAGTTGACAAGGAAACCCTCTCCGCCATCTACGGGTTCGAGCGTCTCCTCGTCTTCTTCGCGGTTTGGATAAAGGACATGAGAAACTTTCATGTCACTTCGAATCCATGACATGGAGGTGTTTCCGTCTGGTTTAGGGTTTAGCCCAGGCCATTGATACCGGAAGTAGACAGGGAATTCGGCACAAATGTTTCTCATCTCATCAAGGCACTCTGTAGGACCCCGCGGGATATTCCCAACTCTCTCGCGTGTCATGGTTGGCTTCTTTAGCTTGGAAAATACATCTAGAGCAAAGATCCTATCATCTTTGGATACGTCATCCCTACTCAAGAATAGATCTTGGGGTGTTGTCCAGTCCAAGTTGCGACAATCCATATCTGCACCCCAATCGATCAGTAGTCGGATGAGCCCGCGGTGCCCGCGTCTACACGCACTATGTAAGGGCGAATCACCTAAAGACTCCGTTCAGTTTCTAGAATAACGCGGTATTAAGTGTTGACTATCTCACCGTACTCATCTTTAGTGTTCACTTCAGCCCCGTTTTCGAGAAGGAGCTGAGCAAATGACATCGCCTCTCGATTAGGACCATGGATGATAAGCAGATGAAGAGGCGTGTGGAAACTACGATTCTGTGCGTCGATATTTGCTCCATGTTTAAGCAGTTGTAAGACAACTCTATGATTTTCGTTCATCGTAGGCTCTTCTTCGTCCCAGCCATACTTCATTACTGCGTGGTGTAGTGCTGTTCTTCCGTCATAGTCACGGGTATTAACTAGCTGTGACGGTGCCGTTGAGCGATTATGAAGAATTTCGAAAACTAAATCGGAATGTTCTCTGATGATAGCTATGTGAAGCGGTGTAAGGCGTTCACTTCCGCTCGGTGTATTTAAGGAGATGGCAGGCTGCTGAACTAGGAACTTGACGTCTCCAAGTAAATTCCGGTAAATGGCGATAGATAGAAGAGAATACCCAGCCCCTATTTTAATATCGTTAATCATATCCTGAGTTCGAGGATGAACATTTTCGATATCTTCCTCTTCGAGGTTCCTGAAAGTGTTCACTAGTGAGGCCTTGTCGCCTTCGTCTACTAGGTAGTAGGCCCATTGCTTTAGAGTCGCTTCAACTTCACCGTCCTTACCATGTGTCACAGCATGCCAAATCTTGTTCTCGGCCAATGTTTTCGGAGATACTGGCTGCCAAGCGCCGGACCTCCAGCTCAATATACGTTTTGAAAGCCTCATCTTGGCAGGATAGCAATAAGGAAGCTCGGGTTCTCGATCCAAAAGAAACTGCGACCAACAAATGATTGGGATAAATTCCATGCGGATTGGAGTACTTATGTGGGCGACAACCTCATGGCTAGCTTAGGCAGACTAGGTAGAAGTAATGAAGAAATCCAGAGTTTAGGTATTTTCGAGAATAGCTTGCTACTACAACGTTCTCACCCAAGCATCTTACCCCTACCCCAGCGAATTCTTGTACAGCCGCATCTCAGCTCCGATTCAACGTACTCTGTCGGTTAGGTATGAGGTGGGCCAGCGAAGAAGCGCAGCAACAAGCGAGTTATTGAATGATATTTCCATGGGTGGGCACGGATCTCACTTCCTCTTTAAGGAATAACAAATTACAAGGGTATTTTTGAAATTTTCATAAATATTTACTCTTAGACTAGGCACATGAGGCTCTGCCGCGTTCCTCCAGTTTCGGCCCCCGCCTCCCCTTTCTATTCGGGTTAATAGCCCTTATATTACACCAATAGGATTGTCAGAATTGCCATGTATTTAGTTAACTCGGCTAAGCTCCAGTCTTGGAAGGAATTAGTAACAACAGCTGACGAACTTGAGCTTACCTACCAGGTATTTAAGGTATATTCCAAGCCAGTGTTGAGTGAGGAAGTCATTTGCATACAATACCATAACTATATCCTATTAAGAGTGCATCTTCGTTGTTCTAATACTAGGTTGAGATCTACTCGTAGATAGTTCATTTACGTTAGGTACCTTATTATTTTACTATGCTACGCTTCCCTATCTAGATATCTCGAGCTACATATCCGAATAAAAGAGTTTGCATGATTCAGATCTATTCCTAGGAGCATGATCTAAGCCCTATGATTTCTTCTCGTCGATTGACTTCGGCTGGGGAGCTTTCTCTTCGTCGCTTTCGCGTTCCGAGTCCTTCTTTAAATCCCCAAGGTCAGAATTGAGGACAAACTCCTCTTTATCGATATGCCTGAACGTAAACCAGAAGACAACGGTAAGTACAGCACCGGCAATGGTCGGTCCAGCAAACGCCCAGATGAGATAGGGGTCGCTGATGGCCGGTGCGGTCGCAAGGCCGATGGCTGCAGAGATGGCCGTCATGAAAAGATTGAGTGAAGAGACAAGACCCTTCATGTTCTTAGGAGCTCGCGAATAGGCGATACCGTAGGCAGTGACGTTGACGAAGATTTCCGAAACAGCACTGATTATAACAGGAACCGCGTACCAAGCGTAGGAAACAGTAGAAACTGAAACCTCCCCAACAGGGACGATCTCAGCACATGTCGTAGCATTCCAGCCGCAGGGTGAAGTTTGATACACATAGTACTGAAGAATAGAATAGGCAATCGAGCCGACTGTGCCAAGCGCGAACCCGAAGGTCATTCGAGAAATGGGGCCCCATTTGATACCGCGTTTGCGCAGAAACGGGTAGACGACGTGGTTCATCAAAGGTACCGCTATATATTCGTTAGCCTTGATACTAACTACTAACCCATTTTATTCCCCTAAACCGAAGGGGGTAAGTTCATACCTAGGACAATAGAGACTGGGTTTAGGTTGTCCAAGAGATCGTTAGGGAGACCATTGGTATCCATTCCAGCAGTGAGGGCGTTAGCAGCGGCACCAAGACCACCGTCGTTGATTTGCCATATAGGCGAAAAGAGGAAGATGCCACAAGCTTGGAAGGTCCTTCGTACATCGTTAACGAATTGGTCGTCGTATGTGTATACTTTCGTGCTGCCTGCGGCTTTGCGCACACTTGGCTTGCCGGCTTCCCAAAATCCTGTACGGCCGATACGCTTCAAACCACCATGAGTAAAGATATCACCGAGGACTCTAAACACATTCCCCAAGTCTGAACCTCCTGGAGGTTGTTTTATCAAACGCGGGTTCAAGTACCATAGCAATGGTGGAAGCATCAGGTACAAAATCGTAGGAATCAAGTATGCCGACCAGTATCCAACAATCTTAGCCAAGTAGGTCGTCGCAATACCGAAACAAGAGCCGACATTAATGAGCAGGTAGAACCACAGCATCACACTGTTGACAGATTCCTCGGGGTCCACGATAACCTTCTCGCCGTTCTTTTCAGTGATGACATGGGCAATTTTATGAGGGCTCTGGTCGATCACGGTAGGGGAAATATTAGGCTTGAACTGAGCAGCACCAATTGAGAGCATATCTAATAAAAGTCAGTATACTGTTTAGAGATTCAGAAGTAATTTTATTTTTTCTTTCTTCGCTGTTTCTGGGAAACGTAGAACGCAACCAACGGCGATAAAAGTCAGGGGTATCAGGACATACTACACAAATGTTAGCTTTTAAGTACCTAATCCATAACGGCAATATGTGAATAGAGAGGTAGAGAATAGCTTGTTACAAACATCATTATACATACCATAAAGATAGAGCAAAAGGACCGATAGCGTTGCCTGAGAGAAGCACAGGTGGAAGTGCTGAAATGATCATGATAATATGAGCCACACCACATATCGCAACACCCCAGCAAATCATCTTGAAGCGGCCGTACTTGGTGTCCGCGAGCCAACCGAAGTAAATTGGCAGCGCATATGCTAAGAATTTGAATGCTTCAGTCATGGCGGTGGCTACTACCGGACCCTTACCAAGAGCACCGGCAGTATATTCAGATCCGGGAGCTGTAGCACCACTGCCATTGCCATCAGGAGGTAAGGGGGCCCTAATGAAGTTCTTGTAGACCTGGTTGCATCCATAATAAGAAGCCCGTTCGGCGAACTCGACCGCGCAGAGATAATAACAAGTTGCCGGCATCTTGCCAGCGACACGCCTTAACGTAGATTTCTCCTCCTCGGTTGGGATGACGAGACCCTGAAGTACCGCATGGCCATCTTCAGTAGCGGCCTTCTCTGAGGTGTTGGTATTAACCTGCGGCTTCTCATCGAGTACTTTCTCGTCGACAGACGCCCGCACCGCGCTGACGGGGGCGACGACGGTGGGAAGGGTAGTACCAGTATCTTAAAACAAGAGCGTTAGCATATTAACTTATTGAATTATGGATTTATGAGAGTATCGGCGAGTTCTCTGTGGCAGATTGAGTCTATAACAAGAATGAACAACATAACATACCCATTGTGGGAATCTGCTTTGTAGTTGAGCAGACACTTCAAAGCAAGACAACGAATATACTGCTCGGGGTTCGCACCCGAGATAAGGCAATGGAGAGAGGACTGGCAGAGACAGAAGGATCGATAGGAGGGACCATATGTGACACTGCACAACGGAATATATCCAACTATATAGCAGTAGTAGCACATGGTCATGCAGGTTGCAAGCCATAGGGGCAAGCCAGCCACTCGTAACACCAAACACCAAGAACCAAGACTTGCCCAGATCATGATACCTAGCTTATCAGCGACAAGATTCCTACATAGTCTTCTTTTTTACCAATCCCAGCTTCCTAGACGAGGTTATCCGCGAACCCCCCAACAATGGAGATACGACTTAGGCTCTATTCATACAATACTCGGACCAGTCCATGCCAACGGTAATCCGCCAAGTGCCTTGGCAGCTGGGTAGATACAAAAACAGGTGGCTCCTCCGCTTGACCCTGGGCGCCACCAAGCCCAGACCAACCACTCATGAAGCCGGAGATCTAGTGTAGTTGTACATGTCCACCTCCATATCAAAGATCATCGACCTAGATTATAGATAATACTGCGCTCGCAAGATCTATACCAACTGCGTCCAGGATGACATAATAGATCCCATCTACCGGATTTCGGATTATCAATGGAATCCAATTACATAGCTAGGAAAATCAGTTATTCCAGTAGGATTGCCTCGGTTAGCATTGTATTCGGCCGGTTTAGGCAGGTGGTTGACGATAACGCCAACCAACCAATGGCGCAATCTACAAATCACGCCCACGATATCGTTGTGTGCGACATAGCATTGTAGCAACGCAGAGATAACGATGGCAAGGGAGTATACCAGAAGCAAGCCTTCCCCAGCTTTTGTTACGCAAAGATCCACGGGCTTGGGACAAAAACGTGTTGGTTTCTTATTTTTGCTCATCCTTCGGGCACCAAGCCGAGTTAGCTCACCTCATAAGATGCCAGGTTCGTATATCTAAGATGTTCTAGCCACTTATCTCATGATCAAACATTTTCATCGTCCCGAACTGCCAAGCCAACGGGCCTTTTATCTCAGCGCCACCCTGTGGGAGGGAGGATTAGGTTGTACAAACAACATTTCTTTTGCAGCGCCCAGGACGCTTATGAAACTTGCCCTTTACTTGGCAGCCGTATCTTGACGAACCCACGAGTTTGGTAAAACACGGCCAGTCATGGTGATCACAATCTAGGACATACTTGCTGGGAAGACTAACGATGAAGATGGCCTAGTTAGTGTTGCTTTGTTGGTTGCAATACCTATGGGTTATCTGATAGTGTGACTTTGGAACGTGGACGGGACGATATCCAAGCCATCTACAAACTCAAAAAGCTTAAGCCTCCCAAATCCGTGCCTAATGTCAGGGAATATGCCGACTCTCTACGGATTCTGCCTCTATAAAACACTGTCATCGCACGAGGTCGACATTACATTACCAAAATTGCGGGATATGTTTATCGAGACGACGAGGCCTGATGGCTTTAGGAACAAGTATGCACCAGATAATTCCATGGCGTGCTTATCTAGGGGGGTTATTGCTCGTAACAAATCATTGAAAAAAAAAAAAAAAAGGAAAATCGTTCTCCTGGTGAGCCCACCATGAAGACATCATTCATTTGCTATATGTCGTAAGTGAAGGCACCTCCTCCACTAGGCTCGCGATCCAGATACCAAGAATTTCCAATACTACCTACCTAACCAAAATTTTTCGTATATATATATGTTCTCCATTCCAGTCGAAAGAGGAATCAGACTAGCTGAAAGAAAGAACGGTCAGCTGATAATGAGTGCCGAGAGTTGTTGTTTGTATGCACCCCAAAGCTTACTAGCGGGTGTCCATCTCAAGGTCCACGATTCCTTCAAACAGCTACTCTAGCGAATTATTATGCCGTGAACTTTAAATCCTTCATCCGGACCCCAACTTATTCCGTATCATGCTCCGGGTAGCCTCTACTTTTCGGTATATCCCCCCACGGTCCCTGATGGATAAGGGATATTTTAGGTTCGTCGGGCACCTACGGTAGTTCGGCGGCTCTCCGTTCAAAGATTAACACTATCCACACGGGTAGATCTTGCGGGATGGGGAATGGACATACGCTAGTTCTTCACCAACATTTAGACGTGTCGTATGATGGCTCCCGCTGTCCGTGCGTGGAAGGATATAGTGTCTGTTAAACGTGAACAAGCGCCAGGCAAATTGCTATCCCTAGAAAGCATCATTGACCTACCTAGGGCGCCTCTAGTGTCAATGTCAAAGTTTGGTACCTATCCCTTGATTGTGCGCCACGTTGGTGCTATCGTATTACGCACCTAGGTGTACGTACTTTCCCACATTACGCGAAACCGAGAGCCTAAGAGATAAATCCAATGCGATGAAAGTTCATGAGAGGCCATGAGGGTAAGGCTTGAGAGTGCTGAGCTCTACCTAAAGTAAAACTACGGAACTACCCCGAAGCACAGACTCGTAGAAGCTAAATAAAGAAGATATCTCAGAATTGGTACCTTGAATGTTGAAGGGGTTTGAGCCCCAACCGCCATTGAGGTAACGTTAGTCTCGATGCTATCGTAGTTTGAAATATCTAGGCTCGTAACTTCATGTACGGAAATTCCCCAAGGTTAGATGGGAACCTTTATAGGGGAATGTATGTATCCCATGTATTGCTCTTTGTATTTAACCAGTCCAGCTAAGCACCGATGGCATAAGTTTTTTAACATGTGAAAGCTAAGACAGTCGTGTATAGAGCTTGAAGGTCAACATAGGATATTTACCTCAGTAACTACTCACCCTAGGAGGTACCTTTAACTCGCAAAGCAAGTTCGCCCTATAAGTCAAAAAGGGATTTGTCATCGTAATTTCAGATATAACTTCATCAACTAAGTTTAAGCAGCTTATATGTAATCGTTGCAATGTATAACTATACTCAAAGCTTGTCAAGATCTGTTAAGATGTCAGAGTATAAGTGGGTTAAGGGTAGTTACAAGGGGTATACAGCGTTAAGGCTTTGTACCTAATAAAATATATAAAGCAAAGGATCTTGTCAATGTGTATAGTCAGTAGCCTCTACAATAGATACCTATATTCAGAGCTCCTTAAGGAACAGCCAAGTTATTTACATACGTCCTAGGTTTACGTCGTGATATCTAGTTCCCGAAATCTACCATCATCGAATGAATATGTGAATACCAAACTACGCTAACGGCTTAAAAAGGGCCAATATTCACGTCTAAAATATGACGAATATAATAAATAAATGATTTCCAATAGTCTTGTTGGACTAGTCGGATTAGATGATAACCCGTGCCGTACGAGTATATAGATGCGGCTCTCTTCGAGCCGCATCTATCTCGAACCTACTTAAAAAGACAGACATCATTATACAAGAGATCATTCGTATCATTGCTGCCTCGACCCCCTAATCCGTACGTACGTATTATATGGACTAGACCTTGTCTATCGACAAGTCTGTTCATACGGTGTTCTGTCGTTGATCGGAGCGCTGGTGCGAAAGCCTTAATAGAGCTAACTGTTTTACCATAAAATAAAGTAGATATTTCTCTTTGATGTAGCCCTTTATTTTCTACCTGGAGTTAAGATATTAAAAAGTCGTAGTAACGTTCAATTACGCCAATATAATATCTCAAGGGCCAAGGATAACCAACTTTATCATAAATGGTGGGGTAAAGAAAGCAACGGCTATGCATACCAACCGAGGTACTCATACGAGAACTTGCTAGATATACACTTGAGAAGTTCTCATGAATAAAACTTGGAAGATAAAATGGAGATAACCGCCTTATAGAAGTCCTCGCCGTGCCATGCTAGCTATAAGTGCTCGTGATATAGCAAAATATCCGGTTTATTACCATAAGTAGATGCATTTTATTCGTATTGCTTCACACCATCATGGTGTTGGGCACGTGACCATACAAGACAAAACTTGGCCCGTGGTCTTCGTAATGGGAACGGTTACGAATTCTAGCTTGAAACACCCCACGCAATCTGATTCTTGTTCCTTGAATTTCTTCTGCTTTTTTTACGGACAGTGCTCGAAAGAGGCTGAAGAGGCTGAAGGAACTATGCCTGCCAAGCCTCCCCCTGATTGGCTTGGGACGACGACTATACATGTATAAGTCCTGGATACTACATTAGAACTGCCACTAAATTTTAGGTAAAACGCTTGCCCAAGAGCAGAGTAGATGCTATGATAGAAAGGCCGCAGTTATGCCTGCAGTTGTTAATCGTTAGTAGCGTAGTATAGTAAGAAAATACCATCTGGTCCATCACGGAAAGCATTCGGATCGGCCGTTATGCAAGACAAGTACCACAATATCGGAATGTGGGGTTTTACGAGGCCAGAACCAAAATCTTGCTGTGCCTGACGATCATTGATCGCTGATCCTCTTCGCTTGTTTATCGAACGCCGTACGGAAGGAATAGACATCGTCTGACAAGAATTTATTTCCTTTTTCCTTTCAAAATTCGGAGGGAACACGAGATTGCATTGTGACCAGAAGCTGTAGGTAATAAATATCCGTTTGATGCTTTATGTAGATCTCGTACTTCGTATACGCGGACTGCTGCAGGGAAGATTCGAGAGGTAAGTTTTCTTTTATTAACGGAGAACATTCGATTCGGCTTCGGCCCTTCGCGAGCGGCGAAGGGGTTTGAAGAGATTTCACAGTTGCAGTCGTCATTGCTTTTAAACCTCAGATTCTTGCAGATGGATCCCGGGTTCGGAACCTTACGGCGGTCGGCGGATAGGTACCCCTATGTATGGTATGTATGGTACATATACATGTCTCTTGGAAGCTGAATGCACATAATCTTAACATACGAGGCTTGACGGAGGCGCATTGTGCCATTGACACGCTGGCCTCGTAAATAAAAGAGGGGACCTCTTCTCCAGTGCCGAGCAAACTACCTTAGGTAGACAATCGGATCTGGGCGATAAGCGTGCTGCGTCATCCGTCATCCACTTACCACCTCTGGTATTGTACCTCGTAGCGAGACCCCTAAAAATATTATGGTCATATGTAGTGTATGTATAATACGTAGGATAGAAATGA